AAAGAGGAGGATTGGCAGCAGATGTCAGCTCAAGGCTAATCTTCCTCAAACCAAACCAAACCAAACCAAACCAGATGTTCAGGACTTAATTCTCCACTCCCCTGGATCCTTAAGAAGGCGCATTCTTACCCCAAAAAGCCTTTACAGTTTTGCAATGTGTAAACTAAGCATCAGCCCAGAGCAGAAAAGCTGCCAGGCAGAGTAGCAGGAGCCTGCAACAACAATGCTAAGGGATGAATTGTGTCTGCTCGCCCTCAAATTCATATGTCGAAGCCCCAACCTCCAGCCCGAAGCCCTCAGAATGTGACCATATGTAGAGAGAGGGCCTTTAAAGAGGTAATTAAGTTAAAATGAGGCCGTTAGGGTGGGCCCTGATCCAATATGACCGGTGTCCTTATAAGAAAAAGAAATTTGGACACACAAAGAGACACGAGGTATGTGCGTGTGCAGAGGGACCACCATGGGGAGAGGCAGCAAGAGGGCGGCCATCTGCAAGCCAAGGAGAGAGGCCTCTGGAGAAACCAACCCTGCCGACACCTTGATCTCGGATTTGCAGGCTCCAGAACTGCGAGAAATACGTTTCTGTTGTTTAAGGTGCCCAGTCTGCGGTACTCTGTTACGGCATCCATTGCACGAGAACAAGGAACGCCGAGAGGCTGTGGGTCAGTTACCAGCGGCGACTGCTACAGAGGGCTAGCTCATTTTGCCGGATTCTCAAGGGGGTGATGCTCTCCCAGAGTTAAAGGGTCACAGCAAAGGGATTTCATGACTCCTGGATGACACAGAGAGAAAGGCAGCAAGTCTTCATCCCCACAGCTCCTGAGGCTGCTCACCCTGACTCATTTGCCCAGCAAGAAGAGAACCCACTAGAAGGCGGTGTGTGGGGTGGAGGCTGGTCTTTATGAACAGCCAGAGGGCTGCAACGTTAGGATGAGATGAATTGGGACAATAATTTCGTAAAGGAAAGCCAGAGAGGCCTTGAGCCGTCTGAGGCTAACCATGTGCTGTGTCCTGCGGAGTGATGATGAACTTGATTTCCTGGGGAGTGGAAAATAAAATAAAATGAAAGAAAACATAGTAAAGCAAAATGATCAAAGAAAGGGGTGGCACGTCTGGGGGAGGAGGTGTCTGGTGACGCCGTCTGGGAGTCTTTGCCCTTCTGCCTCCCCGGGCAGCGCGCAGGAGGAGCCTCTGTCAACCTGGCTTCAGGGACAAGTTCAGCTGGGTCTCTTCAGTTTGGGCCAACATGGGTTCCTTCCTCTCTCTGCCAGCTCTTAGTTTAAGAATGATCTATAGCAGTTATTGACCTCCCAGGTAGAAAGCATTTCCACCTCCAGGAGCCCTCCTGCTTTTGCGGATATTAATCCAGCCACCTTGGCTTCATCAGATTCCACGGGAGGCAAAGGATTTCTTGACGCTCAAGCGCAAGGAGATCCCTTCCAGGTGAGGACCGCCAGTCTGCACCTTTGCTTTTGGACCACGAGGGGGTGGTGTGAGCTACGCTGAAGCTGCCTCTGAAGGGCTTGGCAGGCGGGGCTGTTGAGGATGATCTTGTCAGAAAGGTTGCAGGCAGGGTCAGGCCAGGTAAGGAGAGGGTGCTACAAGTCGGGGGTAATTGGGAACTTAGCTTGCAGCTCGGGCTAGAGGGAGAGAAGACGGAGGTCTGAGCTGGAAGAGCGAGGAAGAGTGCAGAAAGGAGTAGCACGGATTGGATTGGAGGCTGATTCTGGGAGGAGCTACTGTGGGTTCCCAAGTGGTGACTGGGAGCCCTGGAAATGCTACTCCCGGTGGGTCACCTTGAAAACTCCTGCTCAGGTGGGAAGCAGGGAGCTTCTTTTTCTTTTAACAAGGTCAGGGTTCAGAATGTCCCAGTCTCTCTGAAGCCACATGGACCTCGAGTCCCTGAGGACTGGATGGTGGGGAGGTCAGCGGAGGACTGGAATGGATTATGCAATAAGGACCCACAGGACTTGGTGATGGATTGGGACTGGTGGGTAGGGAAAAGGGGAGCTGAGAACAACTTTTAGGGTCCTGGCTCAGAAGAGAAGTGTGGAGGCCTGTGTGTGATGTGACAGCCCTCGAAGGAGAGGGCCTCAAGAAGTGACTCAGATCAAAAACTTGGGGTTCAGATGTGAGTCATTCCTTTCCCCCACAGCTCAGATCCAACCTATCAGCAAACTCAGTGCTCGTTGGGATCCACAGCAAGTCCCGCAGGCTTGATCTCCAGAATGTATCCTAAAACTGGCTGCTTACTACCTTCCCCACTGCTACCACACTGGTCCAAGCCCTTCACTGGAACTCATATCTGGTTTCGCTGTTTCCATTCTTGTGTCACTGTTGTCAGTTCTTCACACAGCAGCCAAAGGGATGTTTTAAAAATCTAAGTCAAGTCGTATCACCATCTTGGTTAAAGTCCACCAAGAGTTGCCACTTGCAATAGAAACTCCTTCCCGAGGCTTACAAAGCCCTACATGATCTGGCTTCTACATGATCTGCCTTTTCAACATCTTCTCTCATGACTCTGCTCTCGTTTGTGATGCTCCAGCCCCACTGGTCTTTATTCTGTCTTTCAATCATCAAGATTGTTCCTGCCCCTGGGCACTTAGCATTTGCTGTGCCCTTTTCTCCAAATGCGTTTCTTCTAGATAGTCCCATCTTTGATTTCTTTATTTTTTCCCTTTCTTTTCACTTGGGAAGGAAGAAAAAAGAGAATAGGTGATAGGGTGGTCTGAGATTGCTTGTGACATCCTTAGATAGTGTGGAGACTGGCTTCACTCAAATGTCTTTCTTGAAATCTTCCCTGATATTTCTATCTGCGAGAAATCTCAGCATGGAAAGAGGATATGTTGACACTGGTGGTCACGGGAGTGGTCATGGGAGGAGGTAAGATTTGAGCTGGACCTTGACAGTAGGTATTGTTTCAATAAGCAGATTTGGGGGAATCTCCATGCAAGAAGGAGCTGTACCTACCTTATTCCACCAGGTCTCCAGTGCTTATTATAGTACCGAGCAGAAAATAGACACTCAATATATAATTCTTGAGTGAATTCACCGATAAATGAGCAAAAGAAGTAGAAAATACTAAATGTGTCTGATGAACAATAAGGTCTGTTTGGCTAGAACAGCAAGTTCTAGCTGGGAAAAAGGATGGAACAAGCAGCATTCAGCCATATTGAAGAGGATTGTTTAACAGAGAATGTGTTTAAGTGCTATATCAGGTTGGTGTCTCCTGCCTAGTTCAGAGCGCTCCATCCCTCCCGTCTAGCTGGTGAGCGATAGCCAGAGGAATGCTCCAGAGAGACCAGCTAGTACTAAGGGACTGAGGAATTAAGAAGAAGATAATTTGTGGAAACGAGGCCCTCCTGGGGTGGGGCATCCTCAAGTTGCGCTTGAAGTCTGTCCTGCCTGGAGGAGAATCTGTTGGTGTTCTTTGTTGGGTGGGCAGGAAGTGACTGTGGAAGGACCCACATTTGCTTCTCCTGACTCCTTATCCTCCCTGGTGTGACCAGTTGATGCCCATGGCCCAGCCCCCTGCTCAGGTCACCTGAGGCCCTTGTGGCCCTCCGCTCTCAGCTGTCTCTCACCCAACTGGTCTGGAACAATCCTTTTACCTTTTCTTGACAAGCTGTCTTAGGCCTTCACACTTGCTCTGGAAACCGGATCCCTCCAGGACGTTTCTCTGGGTGTCCAAGTGGCTCTGTGCCCCTCGCCTCCTCCCCCACACCTGGCCAGGGTGGGTCTTCTGGGGGTTTTTCTCCTCCTCTACCCCCACCCTATCTGTCCTGTCATTGGTGGGTGGGATTGCACATTCCAGTCTGCCTTAGCTCTGCCTGTTCATGTAGCCCTTAGGTTTCCTCATTGATCTGAAACTTTTCTCCTGTCATGCATTTTTCTTATTTGTTCCAAGTGTCATAACGTATGAAATACCAGTCACCACATTGTTCCCTCTTGACTGTTTGGATTTTCTTCCCTGCAGCCCTTCTACAGGGGGTTTAGACAGAACTTTTTTGCCCCAGAGGAGAGGAATGCGGATTTCATATAGACTAGAGAAGCTATTTCTCAGCTTTGATTTTCAAATTGGCTCAAAATAATAATAATAGAAAAAGGAATAGCTTTTTGGGGCTGGCCTGGTGGCGTAGTGGTTAAGTTCTTGTGCTCCGCTTTGGCGGCCTGGGGTTCGCAGGTTTGGATCCTGGGTGCAGACCTACACACTGCTCATCAAGCCATGCTGAGATGGCATCCCACATACAAAGCAGAGGAAGATTGGCAACAGACGTTAGCTCAAGGCTGATCTTCCTCACCAAAAAAAAAAAAAAAAAAAAAAGTGTAGACTTTAATTCAGGCTATCAAGAAAGACAAGAGAGTCAGCTCAGAATTCTGAAGGCTGGGAATGATTTCCTTAAGGAGCTCTGCTTGGAGGGTTGACTTTGGAGGCTGAGGATGGGGTGTCCTTGAAGGAAGGTCTTGTCACACAGGAAAGAAAAAACAGTCATAGGTAGGTGAGCTTAATGAAAAGGTCAGGTGTGAGAGTTCTGCTCTGTCTTTGAGGTTTAAATCTAAGTTAGAAAAAAAATGTGTTTTTCTATGAATGTTATACAAACACACTCAAATGAAATTGGAGGGAGTCCAGGAATATCAGCTTCCTGCTTCCCTGGGAGTGTGTCCTTGAGACACGAGCCTCTCAAATGAGCGTGGTGCGTGGCCCCAAGGGCCAACATGGTGTGCAAAGGGGGAAATTGTTGGAGTAGATGGTGGTGTCTCACAGGGAGCAAGGGAGTGCTGGAGAAACTGAGGTACAGAGGAGGATTGGGTTTGTGTTGAAGAGGCCACAGAGTTCTGCAACCTCACAAGCAGAGGGGACGTCAGCAGCGGGCTCCTGAGCAACGCCCGAGAGACCAGGTGGTCCACACCACGAGACGGTAGACATCCTAGGTCAAGATGCCTAGTGAACATTGCTTCAAGTGGATGCCCAGAATTTCAGATGAATCAAATACTCAGGGGACGGGACAAAGGATAAAATCTATTCACACTTCTACAGCATTTCATGGTTTACAGATACATTTCTATCCTGGGTGCTGGGCCAGACGATTATTACTGATCTGATCCTACAGATTCGATGATGGGGTTTTGCTGGGCGGTTTGGCGGTGAATCAGCTCCGTGCCCGGCATTCAAGTCTTCCGTCTCCAGATCCACCACCTGTCGTCTGGAACTGTTCCCTGGGCCCCGCTGATGACGCTGACAGTGATTGTTAGAGTTCAGATCTCTCGTGTCCTGCAGAAAGGCTAACTACTGGGCTCGAGTCCCCAAGCCACCTTTAACCTCTGCTTCCTGCCTCTCATCCCACAGCACAGAGAGGGGCTGAGCCAGGCTACTGTGCTCCACGTGGCAGGAGTAGGGGGCTCTGTCCTGAGGGGGGACTCCCACCACCACCCAGGACAGGTAAGTGCCATTTCCACTGGGAAGAATGTCTCCCCCTGACTCAGTCTCCTGCGCATCGCTGGCCCGGGTCCAGTGCAGACCAATTCTTCGTGGGTAGAAGTCATAGGCCAGGCACTTGAGTGTCCTCTCTTTTCCTGGGGCCACGTGGCTGGTGACTGACACAGAGGGAGGATCTGTGGAGGGACGGAGCATGGGTACTGAGGGCCTGAAGCAGACATCTGCCTGCTCATGTCGCCCCCACCCCGGATGTCAGTGATCTTAGAGCTTCCCCTGAGCCTTGCCTGTTGGGTCACGGGGTGTCCGTGGCTGCTCTCTTGCCCCAGCGCCTCCTCCACTTACTGACTTTTGATGGCAAGAAATTGTGATTGCCCACATACAACTTTCTGTTTTTTCCCAAACCTCTGAGTGAGCTTGGTGGCTCCCTTCTCCCCCATTGTCAGCCCTGCCCCTTAGTTCTGCCTGCCACTCTGTCCATCAGATCCTTCCCAGCTCTGTCCCACAAGACCCTCTTTCTTGCTACTTCTCGAACTAAAGTCTCAGCTTGTGACAATCAGTCTTGTCACACTTGCTCATTTTCATCCTTCCAGCACAGACATTTCACACGCCTGCCTTCTCTCCACAGTCCAGCCAGGAGGCATCATCATAGAGACAAACCACTGTGGGATTCTCCTGAGCTGTTCCCCTGAGCTCCCAGCCTGTGACCACCTCAGTCTGTCTCAGTTCAGTGCAGGGGAGCAGGACCGAGGAAGCGGCGGGTACCTTGTCGGTCCAGGTAGATCCTGCCGTCTTGCAGGTACCTCCGCAGCATCCCCGGGCACTCCTCCTCCAGGTAGGCCTTGGCCCGCTGCACATAGACTTCTTCTGCCTCCCACTTCTGCTTGGTGTCCCGAGCTGCTGGGTCCAGGGCGACCCAGGCTGGGATTTCTTTGTTGAATTCGATGAAGTCCCGTCCATCGTAGGCGTACCTCCAGAAGGCTCCGCTGCTTTGGTTATTCCGGAGCTCACAACCAAACAGTCCCTGAAAGGTGTGAGACCCTGCATCCCCCCAGCCCCCCGGGAGTCAGTCAGCCTGGCATCAACCCAGTCGTAATAACTCTTACTCCTACACAGTTTGCAACCCAATAGGAAGAAAGGTTTTTGAAATCTAAGCATGCCATCCCTTTATCTTGACAAATGGGTTATTGCCAGACGTTACAGCAGACAGAGAGAGGGAAATTTGGTTTGGTTTGGTGTTTTAGGCCAGTCTGAGATGAGCTGCATTCTTCCCAGCCAGGGAATTTCAGAGAGCTACAGACTGTAGCCCGGCTTGCCAGCACCTCTGCATCATCTCATTTAATGAATTTTGTTCAAATATGCTGTGAGTTCTTAGGAACCTCACGCAGCCATGCTGAAGTGCATTTCCAAGTTAAATAGAAATTATTTGTAGTTTTATATAGATTACGAAATCCCTCCTTTGTTTTCACTTCTAAGTGGAGTTGATGTCACCACTTGAGTAAACATAGCTTGATCACTTGTTCCCTCTTTTCCGGTGTTTGATATCTTTAATAAAAATCTCTAAAGCGCCATCTCCCCTCCCCATTAGCAACAGCTCTTGGAAATGGGCCTCCTCAGGGAAAGGGGACATGACCTCTCCATTTCGATTATAAAAGTAGGTGTTTACCGAATACTGATTAGTGCTATTGGCACAGGCTCTGATCTCAAGCTGTCTGGGCTCAAATCCCAGATCTCTCCCCACCCCCGCCTGGCTTGTTGCATGAAGTTGGGCCATTAACTTCTCTGTGCCTCAATTTTTTCATCTCTGAAATGGCATTGGCAATAGTACTATTTTAGAGGGTTATTGTGAGCGTTGCACATGTTAATACATGTGCTGGCACATAGTAATTGCTCACTAAATATGAGGTGCTATTATTTTCTAATACCTGGTGTTAGTCTCTTTATCCTCTTTACTCATAGTTACTCACTTCAACATTTCTATTCCAACCAATCACAATGTCTCCCAGTGTCCTCCCCGGCCTTACCCTCTCCTATTTCTGACACACAAACCAGGGCGTTTTCCTTACCAGGGCTTCTCATTCCACATCTTTCAGTTTTGCATAACTCTTGCCTCCTTTTGGAAACTTTCAGATTCTGTGTAGCTTCTTGGGCATTTTTGTACTCAAAAACCCATCTTTTTTTTTTTTTTTTGGAGGAAGGTTAGCCCTGAGCTAACGTCTGCCATCAATCCTCCTCTTTTTGCTGAGGAAGATTGGCCCTGAGCTAACATCAGTGCCCATCTTCCTCTACTGTATATGTGAGATGCCGGCCACAGCATGGCTTGATAAGCAGTGCGAGGTCCACGCCTGGGATCCAAACCTGTGAACCCTGGGCCGCTGAAGCAGAGCATGTTAACCACTCTGCCACCATGCAGGCCCCCTCAAGAAACCCATCTTTTGACACTCACCCTCGAGGGTAGGCAGTGGGGGTCGGCAGTGTGGTTCAGGAGAAAGAGTGTTGGGCTGAGAGACACAAGAACTAGTCTCTGTGCTATGCTCTGATCAGCTCCTCACACCACATGTCCAGTTGACCCCTCTTGAGTTTGCTCCTTATGGACAAGAGGGTGTTTAGGATTCCATGTAACTTTAACCATCGTGGTCCTGAATTCAGTCATTCCCGAGCTCTCCGTATGGGTCATGGTCTGTGCTAGGTACTTCCTCTCAATCACTCAGCAAATTTCATTTGAGCAAGTATTATTGGCTGTCCTAGATGATGGGGCTACAGGGGAGATTAAGACAGAATATGTCCCAGCCTTCAGGGAATTTTCATAAACAAGTTTTATGAAATCGCTTGAAGGCGAGTCTCAATGCTCCAAGTTTTGCAGATTCAGACCAGATAATTAAGAAACATGTTCACTGTGAAACAGCTAGTGACTGGCAGAACCACCACATGAACCCAGGTCAGAGTGACCCCAAGGCTGGCTCACTCTCTACCCAACATCCGTGGGCAAGGGTGAGTCTGACACCTTCTAAAGTGGGATCAGCCTCAGACGGGCGGGGGTGTGGAGCTGAGAGGTCAGATGTGCCTGGATAAGCGCTGGCTCTGCCATCACTTCCTGTGTGAGTTGAGTCCTGGGAGTGAGGATGGGAGATGTGATGGGGAAGGAGAAAAGCAGATGTGTTGTGGGGTGGGGGAGATACAGAAATGTCTGTGTATTTCTACTTGTGCTTCCCGTTCCTCCTTTGGGATTGGGATTATTTCCATCCTGCTGACCCTTTTCTACTCACAATTGCAGGGCTGCCTCTTGAGCTGAGACCCTCCACCCCAGCAGTCCGTCGTCCACTGACCTTCTCTGTCCTTGTAATAGTCCATGATGTCTTCCAGGGTCACCATGAAGATGTCCTCCCTGGCCTTCTGAAGTTCACTCTCCTTCTCCCAGTCCTCCATCCCTTCCACCTGGCTCCACGGGCCCAAGGGCTCAGCCTTCCTGCCCTCACTGTCGTAGCGGAAGAAGGCCTGGTCATTGAGGTAGGCGATGGCCTGAAACCTGGGGAAACCCTTAGCGGGCTTGGACAGCCCAGTGTAGAGGAAGCTCAGAGAGTAAGGCCCTGCAAAAGAGAAGACTTTGAGGTGTGGGGGCCAACGTGAGACAGCAGAGGGCCAGGGAGGGAGACCTGGTCCTTGGGCCTCCTCCTCCCCAGCTCTCTTCACTCTGCTGTCAGCCTCACACCACTGGAGGCTCGCTCGAGCAAAAGGGCTCTACGTCTTTTCTGGGATGACATTTCGGAGACCCTTCTGTGTCTTGTTTCCTTTTCTTGGCACACAAGAACATAATATTTCTCAGCCCCCTTGTAGGTATGTTGGGACCATGTGACTGAGTTCTGTCAAAAGGGAAGTGATGTCTTTCTTCTGGTCTGAGGACTGATGAGCTGGTTTGCCCCATCTGTCTCTCTTCCCTTTAGGCGATGACTGTGGAGGCCCCAGGATGAGACAGGAGAGTCTCAAGATGCGAACAGCTGGATCCCTGTGTCACCCCATGGAGGAGAGGAAAGTTGACTGAACTGTAGTCAGCTTTGTATGAGCAGGAAAGAAACCTCTGTAGGGTTAAGCCACTAAAAACTTTACTACTGAAGCATAGCCTAGTCGAACCTGACAAATACATATAGTTAGAAAGTGCTGAAAGGAGAATTTACTGGAAAACTCGGGAAATGACCCAGAATGGATCAGCACAGGTTAAGACCAGGATCGATCTCAGAATTCCCAGGCCTGTACCTTGCATTTTGGTGGAAGGCAGGGACTGGTGGGGGGCGGGGGGGACATTTCCATAATTAATTCATGATATGACTTACCTGAGTGTTAATAATCTTAGAGGTCATATGGCAGATTCCTAGTTCAAGTACTGAAATTATTCTTGCTAATTGGTTTTTAAATGTGACTGACATTTAACTCAGCAGAATGTCAGTAAAGCTGATTACCCTCCATAATGTGGGTGGGCCTCATCTGATCAGTTGAAGTCCATAAGAGAAAAGACTGAGGTCCCCCAAAGAAGAAGGAATTTGGCCTCCAGACTGCCTTCGGACTCAAGACTGTTACATCAGCTCTTCTCTGGGTCTCCAGCCTGCTGACCTACTCTGCAGATTTTGGGCTGGCCAGCTGCCACAACTGTGTGAGCCAATTCTCTAAAATAAATCTCTTTTTATCTGCATATACATCCTATTAGTTCTGTTTCTCTGGAGAACCCTGACTAACACAGATTTTGGTGTAGGAGGTGATAACATTCTAAATGTCATTAATTGTTATAAAATACATATTCTGCTCGTTTATAAATATAACGAATTTTACACTTGTACAGTTTGGCTTACATTTCTTCTTCTTGAAATTTTGCATGTCAAAAAAACAGCCTCATTCCCCCGTCCTAGAACTGACGCTGGTTCTTCCCAAGCTCCAGCTGGCTCCTTTCACAATCACTCACCTTCCAGGCCCACTGGAGTAGTGTCTGACTGTGGGGTGAGGTCCTTCCAGAACCATCCCTCCAGTTAAGCTGCCTTCACACCTGCCCCTTGAGGTTGTTCCCTCTTTCCCTGAGAGTCAGACAGGTACATCCAGCCGTTGGAAGGAGGGGAGGAACAAGAGGTTCCACCTGTGTGGCTCCTGCTCTGTCCTGGCTGGATGACCCTGGGCAGGTCATTTATCCTCTCTGGGTCTTAAATGAAGAGTTTTCGGTTCCGATTCTTTAAGGTCTTATTTTGCATGAGTCCACAGGCTCCCTGAATGCTTCTAGAAGGGGGTGAGCTGAGTTGGTTGACAGCCTTGGACGCCCACTCCCGCAGTACACTTGGGAATCGCAGCTGCCTCGGGCACCATTCTCCCAGCCCACCTATCCTGTTCCTTATCTCCCCTCCATTCTTCTCCATAGCCACTCCTGGCTTCCCCACTCACCAGTGTGAGTCTCCTGGGAGACGGCAGGACCCAGAAGGAGCAGCAGAGGCAGCAGGACAGGCACCATTGTGCTCATAGTGGCTGTCTGGAAGGTTCTGGGCTTCCCTGGATCCTGGAGCTCGGAGCAGGCTACTTAGAAAGAAAGCCAGGTGTAGTTATGGGAATGGCTGGGCTTTGAGCCCAGCCCAAGGGAGGTGAACCCACAGCCCAATGAGAGTGTCAGGATGGGCTCCTCCCCTGACAGTGAGAGAAAAAGATGCACCAGCCAGGCTGGGCAGAAGCTGTGCTCAGTGAGTCTATGGACAGTCTCCAAACTGAGAACCGAGACAGCTGATCTAGGGACAGGGACTCTGTATCCCTGGGTGAAAGAATGCCAGTGGGCTGGGGGTGTATGTGGCAAGTGGCAGGTGCCTGAGATGTGTGTCACCCTTCCAGTCTATTATGATGTTCCCACCCTGGGGTCAGTAGGGGGATTTGGCTGTTGTCAGACCAGGCTTTACTCCCCTCCTCTGGAAGACCTCTCAACATGTCCAGAGCCTGGGTCTGCCTGGGCAGACCCCAGTTAAGGTGTGACCCTCACTCTCCCACACCCCATCCCACCAGAGTGCTGTCTGGAGGACATTCACATGTCTGCCTCCCTCTCTTTCGATGCTTGGGGAATCCAGGCCTTTCCATCATGGAAGCAGAAACAGCCAGGATCCCCTTTTCACAGCATCTCTTGCAACAGACCAAGTGTGCGTGGCTTGGGCTCAGTGAGGCAGATGCTCGTGCCCTAGACACAGGGTCAGGTGTCAGCGAAGCAAAGAAGAGGGCATCATGGACAGCCCTGTCTGGTTGTCTCAGCAACTCCTGGGGGCAGCAGGGCAGCAGTAGCCATGAGGGGGAGGTCCAGCGTCCAGTGGGTGGTGTCATCGGTCCACGAGGTGGCATCCGGTGTCCCTGTTGATGGTAGCACGTGTTTACAGAACTGGTCCCGTCTCGTGATTTTGCCTGTTCTTCTCCTGTCTCTACATTGATTCTGAGAGCCGACCCATAAATACGTTTATTTTCTGCTCAAAGTCAGAATTGGATTCTGTTTCTAGCAAGTAATGATTCTGATGGATACAAAATTGGTGCAAGGATTGTTTTCAGGCAACACTTGCTCAGGGGAACGGAGAGAGGGGAACTGGGACCGGTTATGGGGCCAGATCGGGGCTGAAGGCAGCAGAAATACAGTCGTCTTGGGGATGTCCTTAGTGTGGAACGCAGTGGAGGGTGAAACAAGTGACTGTGTTATCTCTTGTGGTTGACTAGAACGAACTGTTCATCGAAGGCAAAATTTTAGGTCCCAATACTGTTGCACAGCATGAAGGACTTGAGGAATTCAAAGATAAAGTCTGGGAAGGTTGAGTCCAAAAGTGCTGAAAAGCTTAACGAAAAAGAGAATAAACGCAAAAGCAGAAATTATTGACTCAAGGCACAGTCTGAAAATCAGGCAATTTCTGAGATAGCGGGGAAAGACTCTTTTGTCTTTTGCAGTTACAAGGATGAAACAGGCAAAAACCTATTAACGCCTAATGGTTAACACCTAACAAAAAAAAATTAGGTTTCATAACTTAATTACAAAAACCTAATAAATCTGATACCCAAGAGTTATCAAGACATTCCTACCAATTTTGTACGATTAGTACTGACGGTGAGTGCCAAGAAGAGCTTCATCGGAGAAGGAACTAAAATCTGGAATGGCAGCAGGAGTGGCTTCATGAGAGATATGGTTGAGCAGGACATGGAACAGGGAGAGAATTCCTGTTGGCAGATGGGGGCAAATTTCATAAAGACAGAGATGGTATCTGTCACGTTCATCTTTCTGTCCCTGGGTCTTAGCCCAGTGTCTGGTACAAAGAAGACAACCAGTAAACACAAAAATAGATCAATGGATAAAGGAGCAAAGACAAAAAGAGATGTTACCACACCTATTTAAAGGTCATTGAGGCCACTTTGGTGGAAACAGAGCTGATGAAGAAGGTGGAGGGGTTGGGCAGGCGGGGTGATAAATTCAAATGGGAGGTTGGAGTCAGATTCTGGAGCTCCCCGATCCAGTGAGCATCCAGTGTCGATCCAATGAGCGTCCAATGTCAGTCCATGAATGAGGCACATCCTGCTGTCGTCTCTCTTCCCTCACAGCCTGCCTTCTCTGCATACCCCATCCCTCTAGGTCAGCAGCTCTTTTTTTTTCCTTTTGACTGGAAAATCAGTTTTTATTAAAGATCTAGCCTCACATTGTAGGTGACTAGTTTGCTTGGAAAGATGGTCCTGGGAAATATCACAAACTCCTTTCACGTAAAAAATAAGCAACACGACATATTAGGTCAGCCTCCATTTGAATTTAGATCTTGAAAGGCAAATTAGCTAGAAACTTCGACTTTGATGACCAGATATCGAGGCTAATGTTATGTTGTTCTAGAATTTGATATATGCATAACAAGACTAAATTAAAATTTTGTCTTCCTATTAGTAAAGGTACATATCTAATTTCTAATCCTAGACATACTAAAAGAATCTCAAAGGTTGACCAAACATACATTTTTATAGGTCAGCAGTTCTTAACGTTTTGTGCCATTTACTCTCTTACCAGTTATTCTCAAGATATATATATATATATATTTTGGTGAGGAAGATTGGTGCTGAGCTAACATCTGTTGCCAATATTTCTCATTTTGCTTGAGGAAGATTATCCCTGAACTAACATCTGTGCCAGTCTTCCTCCATTTTGTACGTGGGTCTCTGCCACAGCATGGCTTGAGGAGTGGTGAGTAGGTCCATACCTGGAATCCAAACCCATGAACCCTGGGCTGCCAAAGTGGAGCACCTGAGTTTAACCAATATGCCACCAGGCTGGCCTCTCAAGATAATTTTTAATGCATAAAACAAAGCATATAGAATACAGAGGAAGCTAGTTACATGGAAACACAAGTTGTTCTGTGCAGCCTCGGGGGCTGATGGGCTGTTTGCAGAGGAGTCTCCCAGGTACAGAACAACATGCTATTCTAAAGTGACTGAGGAATTGTTAAGAAGGAGACAATTTGTGGAAACGAGGCCCTCCTGGGGTGGGACATCCTCAAACTGCACTTGAAGTCGGTCCTGCCTGCAGGAGAATCTGTTGGTGTTCTTTGTTGAGCGGGCAGGAGGTGAACGTGGAAGGACCCACATTTGCTTCTCTGGACCCCCATCCTCCCTGGTGTGCTCAATCGATGCCCATAGCCCAGCCCCACCCTCAGGTCGCCTGAGGCCCTTGTGACCCTCCCCTCTCAGCTGTCTTTCACCCAACTGGTCAGGAACAATCTTTTTACCTTTCCTTGGTAAGCTGTCTTAGGCCTTCGCACTTGCTCTGAAATCAGAATCCTTCCAGGAAGCTTGTCTGGGTGTCTAAGTGGCCCTGTGCCCCTCTCCTCCTGCCCCACGCCTGGCCAGGACTGGGTCTTCTGGGGTTTCTCCCTCCTCCACCCCTGCCCCATCTCTCCTGTCCTAGTGGGGCCGGATCTCACATTCCAGTCTGCCTTAGCTCTGCCTGTTCATGTGAACTTTGAGTTTCCTCATTGATCTGAAACTTTTCTCCTGTCACGTGTTTTTCTTTATTTGTTCAAAAGATCAGAAGTTGCTTTCAAATATCAATAGCTGGGTTATTTCCTTCTGCGTTGTTTGTTTTTTCTTCCATGACTAAATATCAAAGACAGCATTTCCGCATATTGCTCACTCATCACGGTATAAGAAAAAAATACTAATGTGAGACAGAACTAAAGGACAACAGAACTTATCTAGAACAGTTTCTCCCTGAGGCTCTCGGGACAAGGACAGAATCCAAAATTAGGCTCCTTCCTTGAGTCTCAGGAGTGGGCTGGCAATGTCCTTCCCTGTCTCTATCCTTGTCCTGAACCTAGAGCTTTTGGGAGTACTTTTAATGGGTTAGGTAGGATTCTGAGGAACACCATTCCATACCTCTAAGCCCTCCTCTTTCTCTTCCACTGGGTCATCCATCCTCTCATATCCCCTCTCCTCAAGGTTCCTTGTTCCTTCTCTTGCTCAGTGCTGGAGAGTAGAACATAAGAAGCAGTGAAGACTTAGTTCAGGTAGCAGGCAATCCCTCAGAGCATCTCAGGGCACTCCTCCTCCAGGTGAGCCTCAGCCACCTCACTGAGGTGCTCCCTGCTTCCCACCTCTGATTGGTGTCCAGGGCTGCAGGGCCCAAGGGGACTCAGGCTGGGATTTCTCTGTTGAATTTGGCGAATCTGTCCACTGTAGGCATACCTCCAGAATGCTACCCTGCTTTGTTTTGTGTTTTCACTCCAGAGCTCTCAATGTTCCCGGGAAGGCGTGGGACCCTGAAGGTCTGGCCTCCCGGACCCCACATATAGTCAGTCTGTTGGTCTGGCTTCATGTCCTGCCTCATTCATAGCATCATCTCCATCTCTGTTTTTTAAAAAATTTTAATGTTTCATATTCATTATTTATTTTATCCTGTAAGTTTATAAAAGCAGTTGAGGCTTGAGTCAAATATTTTGTTTTAAATAAACTTCCACAGTGTTACTTCCAATTGAAGGAACTGCAAAAAAGTATGCAATTGGAAGTAACACTGTGGAAGTTTATTTAAAACAAAAAATTTGACTTAAATTTGAAGCGGAGTGTGCAGAACTATAACCGCTGGGCCATCAGGGCTGGCTCATGTGATCCACTTTTTTGTTCCCTCTGGAAGCTTGTAAAATTTTTATTTTTTTCTCTAGCTTTATGAAATTTCATAACCATGTGCCTTGGTATGCGTCTATTCCTGCTTCTCGATTCTTTATGGAACTCCTAGTTTGTAGCTGTTGGACGCTCTGGCCGGGCTAATTTTCTTTTCTATTCTCTCTGACTTTCCATTACTTTTCCTTTTTCCTATAGTTTCTGGGAGATTTCTTCAACTAAGGAAACGCGTTCCCCTTTGGCCGAGGGGCTCCAGAGACAGAATGACCCATCGCTCTGCTCCTGAGTCTGATGGACAATCCGGAGCTTTCCAGGGCCAGTGAGAGGGTCTGGAGGGGGATGTCCAATGACGGGAGGACCCTCCCTCCTCTTGGTAGAGAGGGCTACCCACAAGAGACAGAGGGACCCTGGGGAAGGGAGGGTATGAGCCACCCCCCCACAAACTACACAAAGCTGAGGAGGAGGAAGGCCAAGGAGCCCAGCAAGAAGGGCAGGTAGCCCTTCACGGCTTATGCCCCCCCAGGAGAGCACCAAGCCACTGCATTGATCACTGCAAGTCAGGATGCTCCTCCGCCTCATTTGTCTGGAAAGTGCAGCTAGGAAAATAAGTGCTCTCCCCCTCTCCCATGCCTGACATGAGGAACCGCGGGCGGTCCTGGGTGCTGGTGGTGAGGGGAGCTGGGGTAAAGCACACTGGCTACCACTCCCACCGCCCCAGGGTGCTACACATTGGAGTTGGCACCACACGGGTTCTCCCTCTCACCCCCAAACACACACAGAGGGGTAGGGCAGTGGCCCATTGTAGCCCAGAATCTTGAACCGTCCTGTGTTCCACAGCCATCAGTGTGTTAGCACCATTCTGATGCAATCCTGCCTCACCAGTAGGAGCAATTAGCTTGTGAGTCACGGAGCTCCTGCAGAAAACTGGTGGATCCAGTGCAGAGGTGGGAGGTGAGCGAAGGAGGTGGAGACAGTGCTGCTGGGAAGGGCAGTCTGCCGTGGGCCTTGAGCTTCCTGCACATTCTTACTGGGCATGCCAGGAATGCAAAGCCCTGTGTGATCTTTACCCAGGGTAGTGTTCGCAGCAAGCGACCTCAGGGGATGAGGTACTGAGCCGCTTTGGAAAAAGATCAAGCTTGTGACAGCTCACTATAAAAGGATGCATTTCCTAAGCCTGGTGTTCCATGACTGCACTGCAAGCCTGTATAACACCCACGTGGGTCCTTCAGAGTTACTGTCTGAGATTTAGGGGCCCAGGGGAACCCTGGCCAACACGATGTTAATGCTGTTTGCTGTGCCATTATCATTAGTCCTTTGTCTCTCCTGTCTTCTGCCAGTATCCTTGAAACAGTGTTGCTGTTAGGCTAATTTATTGGCTTGCAAGTGAGGCAAAATTCCAGACTCTGACAAGCACCTGCTTCAGGAGATGGTCCCATGCCCCTCCCTTGTCTGCATTTGGATCCCTGCTGGCTGAGGGGAATTTGGGTGCCACACTGATCAACCCGCCTGTGTGTACCCCAGCCATGGGGGAAGGAGGGTTGAGCAGCGGAGGCCCCTCGTGCATAGATATGCAGGTGCAGTTTTGGGAAACCCTGCGGTCCACCGCTGCAGGGCAAACAGTCAGATGACCCAGCCTCGCTGCCAGCCTCCTGGAACTCTGCGGCCGACATCGGATACCTAACGTCCTCCCTTCACTAAGGTTGGAGCCAGACTTTCACGCTTGGGTTGGTGTTTCTTGAATCTTAGAGGCAATATCCCATTTTGCCACAAGAGGGAGGCTATCAGTGGGCTGGGAGAGGAAAATCAGCACGGATGGCAATTGAACAGAATTTATTTCTTTGGATATCTTGTGAATGCTGAGGGAATCAGACACAGCAACATTCATAGGTATTCCAAAACCAAATAAAAATTATTTTTAATTGTTAGATTATTTGCAATTTTTCTTTCCATCCAACTTAGGAGTTCAACTGTCCAGTCGCGTGGTTGTAGTGATTACATCTGGTCTTTGATCTGGCTTTTATTGTCCTTGTCCTAAACTCCTAATGTTACCACCCCCTCACCCATTTTCAATAATTCTCCATTGTTTCCCCTCCTTGAACACTCACTTTTTGGGATCAGTGTAATCCCTCCCTAGGGCTGCCACATCCTTCCTCTTTCTGATTATTCAGAAGGGTTTCTGATTATTCAAAATTGTTCTAGCTAGGATTTACTCAATACAGTGAGCATTTTGGTTAATGATCCAGGTTTTACAGATAGCAAGTTCAGGTTTGAATCCAAGCTCTGCCACCATTTGCTTAACTTGTGACCTTGAGCAAAGTACTTAATTCCTCTGTGCTTCAATTTCCTCATCGCTAAAATGGATGTTATAACAACAGATTTATCATAGAGTTTTTTTGTGTGTATAAGAATTACGTGAGATAACACGTATCTGGTACATAGTACTTGCTCAATAATTGCCATCTACTATAATTACCTCGTGTCCCCTTTTCTCTGTCTTCGTCCAGCACCCCTGTTACTCATGACTTCTGACCACAAATTTTCTGCTCCAGCCAATGTCTTTCCAGTCCCCTGTGCTTTAATAACTCCTACTTAGGAGACATAGTCCAGGCTACTTTCCTGACCTCTCCTCCTGGAGATTTCAGATTCCCTGCAGCTTTTTGGGCATTTTGTGCCTTGGTATCAACAGTTCACCAGATCTGAGGAACTGGCCTCTTGTTTGCTCTGCATCTTGCAGTCTGTATGACCCATGTAAATTATCTATTCCGAGTCTGTTTCCTCCTGTGTAAAGTGGGCTGGAGGATCCTTCAGGTTCCATGTAGCTGTAACAGTCTATGGAAAGGAAAACGACATTCAGTGAGCACCTAGCATTGATGTGAACTATGACAGTATTTACTGAGCGAGTTCTAAATGCTGAGCAATGTCCTTGGTGATGAGGGTACAGGGCAGGTCAAGAAACATACCACCTCTGCCCTCACGAAGCTTACCTAGGCTAGTTTTAAAAAAGTGAATTCTCACAACAACCATGAAATGACTCATCGATGCAATGCAGCCCAGATGATTAAGTCACTTGATGAAGTCCCTGTGAAATAGCTAGTGACTGGTGGAGCCACCATGTGAACCCAGGTCTGACTCACCCCGAGGCTGGCTCACTCTCCACCCAACATCCCTGGGAAGGGGTGAGTCTGACACCTTCTTAAGTGGGATCAGCCTCAGACGGGCGGGGGTGTGGAGCTGAGAGGTCACATGTGCCTGGATAAGAGTGGCTCCGCCATCACTTCTTGTGAGAGTTGAGGCCTGGGAGTGAGGATGGGGGACGTGACGAGGAAGGAGGAAAGCAAGTGTGTTGTGGGGTGAGGGGAGTGCAGAAATGTCTGTGTATTTCTACTTGTGTCTTCTGTTGATCTTTTGGGGCTCTGATATTTCCTTCCTGCTAACTCCCCTTTTCACACCTACTTGGGACTGCCCCTAGAGCTTGTGAAAACAGCACATTCCTACCTTCCATCCACAGCCTTCTGTCCACTGGCCTTCTCTGTCCTTGGAATAGTCCATGATGTCGTTCAAAGTCATCATGAGGATGTCCTCCCTGGTCTGAACTTAACTCTCCTCCTGTCGTCCATCCTCATCACCTGGCTCTAGTGTCTCAGGGATTTACTGCCTTCGCAATCATAGAGAAAGAAGGCCTGATCACTGGCGTGGGCAGTGGCCTAAAAGCTAGGGGAGACTTCACCGGGCCTGGAAAACGTGGTGTAAAGAAAGTCACAGAGTAAGGACCTGCCAAACTGAAGAGGACTTTGCGGTGTGGATCAACTGTGAGTCCTACTGTGGGGCAGCAGAGGGTCAAGAAGGAAGACTGCGTCATTGGGATCAACAGCTGATCATGGCCTGTGGTCTCTAGCCTTTCCTTCCTGTCAGCCTCCTGGCACTGCATGCTCACACAGGCAAAAACTTGCCTTTGTATGGTAGAAAGTGCAGGAAGGAGAATTTTCTAGAAATTCAGGTAACGAACCAAATGGGATAAAACCAGGATGCTGCTTCTGTATCACCAGTGCTTTGAGTTAAATGTGTTGCTAAGTTGAATCCTGGCCATACTGGTGAGAAACGCATTTGCTGACTGTTTGTAAATGTTACAGATTTTAAACCTGCACAATCTCAAGAAATCATTAGTTTATATTTTTTGGTGGGCCCAGGACTAGCTTAGCTCCCTTCTCGCCAGGTCACATAGTATTCCAGGCCCAGTGCTGTTGTATCAGTTCCCTGGGAAGATGTTTCCCTTTTTGTTCTCACACTTTCCTTCTGCTGACCTCTCCATGACCCTAGTTCAGGGTGGTCTCTCTCTATCCCCCAAACCAGATAGATACGTCCAGCTGTGGAGGAGGGAGGGAGGGAGAGAAGAAAGATTTCTCCTCCCATCGTTGTGGGGTGCAGAGGTGCCAGACCTCCACACTTCTTTCCACACCCTTCTCTTGGGTGCTCCCTGCACTCTGGACACCCTGCTACTCCAGGTCTTGGCACATATCGTCAACATATGGCTGTGGGAGGAGGCTTGTCTCATCTAGTGGGCAGAGGGGAGACAAAGAGGGCATTGTTTAGTGGAATAAAGAAGTGGGTTGAGAGTTCTCTTTACCCTTGGGGGCTTCTTTCCTGGCACCAGTCCTCAGAAACTTACTGTGAAAGAGAAGTTTGTCTGGGTACTTTAGGGTCCTGTCAGAAGCTTAGAAGTAACCAGGCAGAAACCCCCGCCCCCCAACCCTAAGCACCAACCGTAGCCTCCTGCCCTGATACCCACACTGACCCGGGCACTGTGGACATTTATAAATAGAGCCATTGAAGAATCAAGAGAAATTCATGCAACTTTGAAAAGTATCCCTAGTCCCAGGCCCTGTGCATCTCCCTACTTTCCACCCCCACTTCAGACATTTAGACGACGACTTTGGTCATCACTCCGGTTGGACTATCTGCATAGCCCCAAAAGGGGGGGGTCACAGCTCTCGGTTTCCAAGGAGATGATCACACACTGTGATCAAAGATGTGTTAAAGGCAGCTGATTCAGTGGTTCCTCCTTGAGAAATGGTTCAGTAGAGGGGGAAGGGTCTGACCCTAGAGCCACCCTTGGTTCCCATTCTGACTCTTTCAGAGCAGAAATAGATGAAACAGAGACCAGAAACACAATATAAAAGATAAACAAAACTAAGAGCTGGTTTGTTTAAAAAGATAAACAAAATTAACAAATCTTTAGCTAGACTTACCAAGAGAAGAGATGACTCAAATAAATAAAATTATAAATGAAAGAGAAGACATTACAGTTGATACCACAGAAATACAAAGGATCATAAGAGACTACTATGAACAATTACACATCAACAAACTGGACAACCTAGAAGAAGTGGACAAATTCCTAGAAATATACAATCTACCAAGTTTGAATCCTGAAGAAATAGATCTGAAAAGACTGCTAATAAGTAAGTAGATTGAATCAGTAAGGAGAAACCTCCCAACAAAAAAGAGTCCAGGACCAGACGGCTTCACAGGTGACTTCTACCAAACTAAAGAAGGATTAATGCCAATTCTTCTCAAACGCTTCCAAAAATAGACAAGGAGGGAACACTTTCAAACTCATTTTACAAGGCCAACATTATCCTGATACTAAAACCAGATAAAGATATTACAAGAAAACTATAGACCAATATCCCTGATGAATACAGATGCAAAAATTCCTAACAAATTACAAGCAAAATGAACTCAACAGCACGTTAAAAGAATCATATACCATGATCAAGTGGGCTTTATCCCTGGGATGCAAGGATAGTTCAACATACGCAAATCAGTAAACGTGTATCAAATCATTACATTGTATGCCTTAAACTTACAAAATGTTACATGTCAACTATACTTCAATAAAGCTTGGGGAAAAAAGTTTTGGTCAGGATATGGAGAAGACAGAGCTGCCTATACTGTTGTTAGGAATGTAAAATGTTGCCACCACTTTGGAAAACAATCTGGCAATTTTTCAAAGAGTTAAACATAGATTTGCCATAAATGAAAACATACGTCCACACAAAAGCTTGTACACATATACTTATAGTGGCATTATCCAAAAAGTGGAACAACCAAAATGTCCATGAACTGATGAATGAATAAATAAAAGTGGTAAATCTGTGCAATGGAATATTATGCAGCAATAAAAAGGAATGGAGTACTGGTACATGCTCCACCATGACTGAACTTTGAAAACGTTATTGCAAGTGAAAGAAGTCAGTCACAGAAGATCATATATTGTATGATTCCATTTATAGTGAAAAGCCCAGAATAGGAAAATCTACAGAGACACAAAGTAGGTTAATGGTTGCCATGGGATTGGTGAGGGGACAGGGAGCGACTGTCAGTGGGTAAGGGGTTTCTTTTTAGGGGTGATGAAGTTTTTCTAAGATTAGATAGTGGTGATGCACAACAGTTTGAATATATTAAACCCCACTGAATTGTACACTTGAAAGGGTGGGTTTTACAGCATGTAAATTATATATCAATAAAGCTGTTATAAAAAAGTTAGATGGACAGCCAACTTTTGGGTATGGTGTAATAAATATAGATTAAGAAAAGATTAAGAATAGATTAAGAAAAGACACCTTAATGCAAATTCATGAGTCCTTAACAAGTTCCTGAACTGAGTTAGTTCCGACAACTGTTAGTTTTAAGTAAGTTAGATCGAGAATCCATCGATTGAAGGGTGGGATCTCCATGTGGAAGCACCCTGCAACACCACGTGAGGCGCATGCAGTAGCGATTCCCTGAGTTCTTCCCCAAAGTAAGCTACAGCCATTTATTCAAATAACCACACAACGGGGAAGGGGAATACTGAGAACTTTTGAGGATGGTTGGATACACGGATACAGGATCCAAAGTTCCATCATAGTGCATACGGAGGTTTGGTAATAAATGGAGCCCTGGCCCAGCTCCCTTTCACAGCACATCTTATATTCGCCGGCTCTACAGACCCATCTGGTAGTCATTTCCCATGTTGCAGAGTGTCCAGTCAGAATGGCTAAACTTAGCAGTTGCCAGGAACCCACTCAGATTCCTTGACCAGTGGAGTAAAATTATTATATAGCAAAGGCCAAGTGACCCCACGCCCCAACACACACTAGGCCAATATAGTAAATAGAAAACATTGCGTCTCAGGAGGAATGGCAGAAATCAATGGCGTTCTCAAATAGTTAAGGAATGCCTGGGGGTGGTCTCCATCATATCCCCGGGTAATTTGCCAGTCTGGTCCTTGAAGAACAGAATGAATCATGGCAGATGATGGTGGGCTACTGAAGAATTAACCAAGTAGGACCCCCAATGTTTAGCCACTGGGCCAGATCTAGTATATTTAGTAGAGCAAAATAACACAGCCTTTGTTATGTGGTAAGGAGCTACTGATCTGATTAATGTGCATATTGATTCACTGTTAGACCAATGCTTAAAATCATTATTATTCATTTGTATTTCAAAAAGTTTAAATTTTAACAGAAATTCTCATATCTGTCTGGCTAGTTCACAAATAAGTTTTTCTTTTCCTTGGAGCGTATGTCTTGCTTAACAGAATCCCCTGGAGGAGTGAACAGGCTTCAGAGGTAAAAAAGAATCCACTGGCACAAAGATCAAATCACTTAAAACGTGAAGACTGTCAAGCTGGACTTATACCTATCCATACGATCAGTACATGTTAGAAAATAGTGGAATGATGTCCCAAATATCCACAGGGGCAGTATCTGGAAGTGAGGTTTCCTCCAACTCTCCTCTGGGAGCTGTTGCAGGCAAGAGAGTGAACAGATCCCTCACTCTGCACTCTTGAGTTACTCTCTCACCCTTCCACCTGCTCACCCCACCTCTCCCCTTCCTGTTCTCCAGCATATCTTTGGAGGGGATCCTGGCTCTAGCAATGGGGGCAGGAAGGGGTATAGGGGCAGGCATTGCAGTTCTCACTGGGCTGGGCTCCCTGAGTTGCTGAGGGGACATGCAGCAGCTGCCCATCATGCTGTGAGGGGAAGCCGGTGCTATTTCTTCCAGCCAAGAGGAGAGGACTTCCTGAGAGCATGACGAGTTCTGGGACAGCTGCTGCCTGAGGAAATGAAGTAAAAACACACACACAGACACAAACCCTCACACAGACACACACACACACACACACACTCTTCTTGTGCTTCGGGTACTTTGGCCAGGAGAGTGGGGGTCATAACAGAGATTTAAACAGAACGAAATTCTATCTGTTGCTGCCTGCGAGCCTGCAGGTTGGAAACACCCTGAAGCCATTGCTTCCATTTCAGATGATCTGAAAATCCCTGTTTCAGTTCACCCTCAACAACAGCGGGTTATTCTCCAGAGCCCACTCTTTAACAGCAGGGCCGCCTGCTCCTTCAGCTGCAATTCTTCTACTCTTCACTAAAGCTGCCAGGAATGAAAGGGGGAGGGGAGGATGGGGGCGGTGGCAGGGGCAGAGCCTGGCAGAGAGCTGGGACCCCGAGGGCTCCAGCCAAGGACGCTCCTCTCTGCCACTTTCCCTGCTGTTCTTGCTTCTGCTCAAAGCTGCCAGGTGAGTGCTCAGGCGGAGAGCAGCTGGGCTGGCTCAGGGCACGGGGGAGTGGCGGTGGGGGCTGCCTGGGGCTCTGGACTGTGCTTCTCCAACTCCTGCACACACCAATGACCTGGGGATATTATTAAAAATAAGATTTGATTTGCTAAGCCTGGGATGCAGCCTGAGATTCTGCATACCTGGTGATGCCAGTGCTGCTGCGCCACAGATCCCACTTTAAATTAAAGAATCTAGAGTGTTTTCCAGGCCAGGAGGCTGAGATGGGAGCAGTGAGCTCGGTTCAGCACTGTCCTCAGTGGACATCTCTGCCTCATACCTTAACTATCTGAGATGAATTCTGCCACCAATGGAATCTTGAAATTTTTCTCCAAAAGAATAGAGATGCTTAGACAAATCCTTACCAAAATCATGAGGGAATTAAGAAAAATCTACTTACATATTTGAAAATCCCCTCAAATTGCGCTTTCCTCCCTCTCGCAGCTCTTGAGTTCACAGGTGTTGCTTCACTGACTGAAATCTTGACAGGGCTCAGATACTGCCAACTCCCTCCCAAATAGATTTATCTGCAAACCGTTTCTCCATTCCTAGAAACAGAGTGGCGTCCCTTGAACTGAGCTTTGTCAACAATGCTGAGCCCTCAGCTCCTTAGGTTCCGAAGTTTGGCCTGGGGGCTCTGGCTCCTGTGGACAAAGCTGCAGACGTGTTTGTGGGAGGAGGATGTTGGGCTCAGGGAATGAGACAGGTGGCCTGGGGACAGCTGGAACAGATGGGCCCCAGGAAAGCAGCGAATGAGGGACAAGGGAGGGCTGTGTTTAGGCTCCGGTTGTATAGGAAACACCCTTTGGTCTGCAGACTGTGGGAGATGGAGCATGATTCTGTCTGAGCCTTCCATGAGGCCCTGGAATGTGTGCAGAATAAGCACTGTTTTGGTGATAATAGCTGTGGGACAAAGGACATCAAAAGGTGCTGAGAATTAGACATGGGGACTCCAAACCAAAGAGTTTTCAGGCAAGTCCTCTTGTCCTGCTTTATCCCCTCTCTCCCTTCCAAACCCCCAAAGCTCCGTGGTGAGCTCTGGAGACCCCGGTTCAGTTCTAAGAGCTTCTCAGAGGACATTTGGGTGTCTAGCTATGGGTCAGGGGTGGGCATGGGAGAGAGAGAAGAACAGAGACAGGGTCTCTGGAAACGACTTACATTCCCAACACTTGGAATAGGGCAGGCCTACTCTGTGTTAAATTCCAGGTTTGCTGGGAACATGCTGGAAACATGTTTAGAGGGTGCTAGGCCTGTACTTTGAAAGGAGATGAGGCTGACAGCAAGACTTGAGAAGTTACCAAATTAGCATTTGGTAACTCTCCAGGAGAGCCAGGGCAGAAATCCTCAGGGCCTGGGGCTGCCTGCCCTAAGGGCGAGGACCCTGTAGACTTCTGAGGTGGAGAGGGACTGCAGGCGTCCTCACAGACGGGGCTGCTTGAGGGACGATGCACAACCAGCCTGGAAACGGGCTGATTATCATGCCCCACCAAATAAAAGCCCTTTGAGATGCTCTGGTACAGAAGTCTTGCTTTACAGACCTGGTAACTGAAGCCAAGAGTAGAGAGCTGATGGACCAGCACAGCTCTGAAGCGGTGGTTCTCAACCAGGGGTGAATTTGACCCCAGGGGACATTCAGCAACATCTGGACACTATTGTGGGTGGGCAGGGAGAGTGTGCTACCAGCATCTAGTGGATAGAGGCCAGGAATGCTGCTAAACATTTTACAACGCACAAGACAGCATCCCTCCTACCCCCAAGCAAAGATTACCAGGCGCCAGATGTCAATAGTGCCAACGCTGAGAAACTCAGGACCAGCATTAGAACTTGACCTTCCTTTCTGTCCTCCATGGAGCTCAGTGCTTCTCCCAACAAAACTCGGTTAAACACTTATAGAGAAACTGCTTTTCCTCAGGCATGTCGCTAAGCGCTTTTTTGTCCACTAAATAAGCTAGCGATTTTGTTTTGTCATTGTCTTCCTGTTCAAATTAGGAAAGAGATTTTGTCCCCTTATCTCTTTAGCTTTTATAATCTTCAGTTGTTCACCTTCTTCCTCTGAATTCTGGAAGAGTCAGAGTGTGGTACTGAATTCTTTCCAGCACCGCACTCTGATTTTCCTCTCAATCTGTCCTGTTGCCTCCAAAGTGGCTTTTGGTTGTGCCACTGGTGATCTTCCTCCTGCTCTATTTGTCATGTTTATACGTTTAAAGATCCATTTACTCTCATTTTCGAGGAGTCTTGGGAATGAGAGGGGATAAATCTTCATCTTCAATCCGCCATCTTTAATCATGAGACCAATTTTACATCTTTCTAGAGACTAAAAATACATTTCCTCTAAAAATTTTAACCCAGTTTTATAGAAAAGAGTTTTCAGCAGCCTGATATATTTCTGAGTCTTCACAGTCTGTGATGGAGGTAGAAAGACAGGGACTGAGGGGCAGGCAGAGGTTCAAACTCTCATTCCTAGTGGCTCAAAAATGGTTTCTCACAGTTGGTGGGTGGCGACATATTTCTCTGGTCAGTTGAGACCCTTAGGAAGTCCCTTGGAAGCATCTCAATCCATCCTTCCTGATTGTACAGAAGTGACCGTTCTGCCTAAGTTTAGGCACATGGCCTGTTCTTATCTATAGTTTATAACACTAACACCCATTTAAAATTGTTTTGTGCATCTTTCTGGGTATTATAATTGGGAAGCTGGTATGAGACAAGTTAGCCATGTCTCATTTGCTGCCATGTGAACTTAGCAATTCAGGTTGTCATTGTTAGAGTTAAAAGGGAGAAACCTAAGCAAGTTCATAGTCAGAGAGGAAACAAAGATGATTCAAATTACAGGAAAGATCATTTGGGGATCAAATCCTTGGAGAAGCTGGAGAGACCCAAGGGCACAGGTCCGGGAGGGAGAGTAGCCTTGGACAAGGGTAGGACCACTTCTTTCTCTAAGATGCTGCAGAAGGAGGTGACTATGGAGATAGGAGAAGTGGTAGCTGTGGGGTTTCACATCAAAGAATCTTTTTTCTCTGAGGAATCAGAGGTTTGCATGGTCTTCTGAGAGTGAGAGGAACTAGGTGTGGAACAGTTTGCACTGAAGGGGAATGGTTAGAAACAGCGGCTCGGCATTGAGCAGGCTGCTGATTAGGATAAAGATAAAGATGGCAAACTGGGCTTGTAGCATGATAATATTTGTCCAGGGAATTGAAGAATTTCTGAAGCCTGTCCCTGACCATGGTCACCTCTCACCACAAGGGAGATATAAGCCCAAGGAACAATGATAAAGCAGAGTCAAATTTCGAATTTTTTATCCATCCGGCTCTGGCTTTGGCCTCAAACTCCACTACAATTAACTAGTAGATTCTGCTGGTTTTTTCTTTTTTCCCAAAATGTTCTCCTTTCCCTAAGCTGTAAGTCTAAAGAACATCAGACTAAAGCAAGCCTTGACACTCACTAGGCTCACTTGATCTCCATCGAGCCTGCTAATCTAACTGCATCTCAATCTCTCCACTGTGAGGGCAGCAGAGGCTGCCCAGACACACCTGTGAGCACCCAAGGTCAAGGGGCCAGAGAAAAGCAGACAGCAAGAGAATGGACACTGCCCCCAGGGTCAGCACTGATTTCATTCAGGTGATGCCAACAGTAGCACCAGACCTGGCAGCCATCACTTGGGGAAACAACTGTTTTCAGGGGACTCTGGTCTCTGACATTCAGCCTTTGGGGAAGGATGAGAGGGAGGGATGGAGGGAAAGGGAGAGTTCCTCTCCATTCCAACAGAGCGGGGACTGTACTTCTCACTATTATTATTTTACGTAGAAGATTCCATTAACTATAACTAGGTGCAATCAGAGTCTTGGTATTTGATCAACCATATTCTTGGAAAGGAGCAAGAAGGCTTGCTCCACCTATTGATGGGTTAGGAGTGAAGAGGTGGCCTGACACTCTTCCTAAAGGACAGTGAGCAACACACCCACACCCATCATTGTCCTCTGCTCCAAAACAGGATGTGTGGCAGGTTCCTGAGGTGGCTGGTGGCTGAGGAGAGCCGGCACTCCACCCACGTGGGGCGCCTCCTGCTTCCCGTGCTCCTGGGATTCCGCCTTGTGCTGCTGGCTGCCAGTGGGACAGGGGTCTATGGTGATGAGCAGAGTGAATTCGTGTGTCACACCCAGCAGCCAGGCTGCAAGGCCGCCTGCTACGATGCCTTCCACCCTCTCTCTCCACTGCGCTTCTGGGCCTTCCAAGTCATCTTGGTGGCCGTGCCCAGCATCCTCTACGTGGGTTTCACTCTGTATCATGTGATCTGGCACTGGGAAGAATCAGAAAAGGTGAAGAAAGAAGAGGAGACCCTGGTCCGCCAAAGGGAGGACAGCAGAGATGCCTCAGGATCTGGAAGCTCCAGGCTGTTCTGGGCCTATGTGGCACAGCTAGGGGTGCGACTGGTCCTCGAGGGGGCAGCCCTGGGGGGGCAGTACCATCTGTATGGGTTCAAGATGCCCAGCTCCTTTGCATGTCGTCGAGAGCCTTGCCTTGGTAGCATAACCTGTACTGTGTCTCGCCCCTCTGAGAAGACCATCTTCCTAAAGACCATGTTTGGGGTCACTGGGCTCTGTCTCTTGTTTACTCTCTTGGAGCTTGTGCTCCTGGGCCTAGGGAGATGGTGGAGGACCCGGAAGCATAAATCTCCCTCTTCTAATTACTTCCCAACTTCAGAGAGTACCAGAAGACACAAGGAACCAACTGATAAATTCCTGGTGGTGGAAACAAAAGAGCAGTTCCGAGAAGCAGGTGAGAAGGGCACTCATATCCCTCTTTCTTCCTGCCCCTGATGTCTCTGTCCTGATGGTCTCCCATGGCAGGTCCCTCGTCCTCTGGGAAGTACAACTCCCACATTGTCACATAGTAGAAAACCAGGTACTAGGCAGATGTGTTCTGACCACTGCTCCCAACCCATCTCCTAACCTTCATCCCCATCAATTTGACGATTCCTTCCAACGAACCAGGACAAGAGTGCTCAGTCAGTTGTCTCCTGCCCTTCCATTTAGGTCTTTTCCTACTTAGAAAAAGTCTCAGCTTCTTCTTGATTCTCTACTTTGCAGAGTTATGAAGACACCTGGCTTACCTCTGAAGGAAACCCTATGATTGGATCTTCTTCCAAACATCCTATGAGTGGGGTTTTGCCTCCATGACAAATTAGAGGCTGTTGAAGCATCTCTAAGGGCCATGACGGGCCATGCTATCTAAAGCATTTCCTTGAAGAATGCTTGCTTGTGCCTTCTCATCAGAATTCTCTGGTGTCAGCATAACAATTTTCATGGGCTTGGTTTCAGAGTCAGCCAGCAGAAGCCTCCATTAAAACTGTGCCTCTCCCCTATCCTGTACAATAAATATCGACTACTATTGTTGGAATTCCTCTTGCTGAAGACAATCCTCCTTCCCGTCTCAGTGACTCTACTTACCTCTCCTATTGTTCCACACTTTCTGCTCTCCCCACCTTCAAAGTACTTTAACCTATGAATGCCCTCAGCTCTGCAGCATATATCATAACCAGAAGCTCTGGCCCTCCAAACATGTATGACCCAGTGTCCTTTAATATATAGATTAGGTTTATTCAAATACCTGGCCACACCCTTTAGGAAGATTACTGGGAAATCAGAGGCTTATGTCTCCTTGACCACTGACAACTCTGATTTCTACTCAATCCTCATCCTCTGCTTGGTGCACTGTAGCACCTCCTATGTGGGGCCAAGGCCCTAGTTTTTAAACGCATACGTCTCAATACCACACAGAAAAGACAGTAGAGATTTGCTGCTGATTCAGGGGTAACAGTGAGGGATGTTTACATCACAGTATAATTCAATAGATGATTTAAAGCTTAATATCAGGCTTCTCTTTTCTTGAATGTCTCAGTCATTTCTGTCTGAGACTGTTCTAGCCTCCCACTTTTTTGCAGAAACACCTCTCTTCTCGGTTCTTCCTTGCCCTTAAATTCTCAACAAAGAGTAGCTACCTAGTGTTTTTTTCTTCCTTCTGAATCCCAAATTATCCCCAAGTAAACGAGGAGGGCCCATTCCTAAGGAAAGATATTTGGTTCCCCAAGGGACACTTTGGCAACAACTTGCAAAATAATAATTTTCCTTTCTGCTACACGAATGTCTCATAAAGAATCCCTTACCTACTGTAGCCAGAGCCCAGCCAAGTGACCAGGCAAATGTCATCATTCTGAATTCCTCCTTGATAGCATCCCTTTTTAATCAGCTGTATTGAGATATAGTATATAACATACCATATAATTCACCCATTTAAAATATACAATTCAATGGTTCTTAGTATAGTCAGAGTTGTGCATCCATTAACACAGTTTTAGAACATTTCTTCAACTCAAAAAGGAACCCTCCAATGCTTAGCTATTACCCCCCAACCTCCAGACCCCCTAAAATAAGCAACCACTGATGTACTTTCTGTCTCTATAGGTTTTCCTATCTCGGCTTTTCATATAAATGGAACCACACAATATGTGGTCTTTTGTGTCTGGCTTCTTTCCCTTAGCATGTTTTTGAGATTCACCCATGTTGTAGCATGTATCAGTACTTCATTCCTTTTTATGGTTGAATATCATTTCATTGTATGGCTATACCACATTTTATTTCTTCATTTTTCAGTTTATGGGCATTTGGATTGTTTCCACATTTTGGCTTTTACGTATAATGGTGCTGTGAACATTCATGTACTAGTTTTTGCATCAATGTATGTTTTCAATCCTCTTGGGTAAATACCTAGGAGTGGAATTAGTGGGGTATATGGTAACTCTTTAAAAAAGTTTTTGAGGAACGGCCAAACTGTTTTCCATGGCAGCTGTACTATTTTACATTCCCAGCAGCAATGCATAAACTGGTTCCAATTAATCCACATCCTCACCAACACTTGGTATTTTCTGTTTTTCATTTGTTTGATTTTTTAATTCCAGACATCCTAGCCGGGTGAAGTGGTATCTCATTGTGGTTTTGATTTGCACTTCCCTAATGACTAATGATGTTAAGCATCTTTTCATGTGATTATTGGCCCTTTGTATATTTTCTTTGGAGAAATGTCTATTCAAAGCCTTTGCCCATTTTTAAATTCGGTTATTTGTATCTTTGTGGCTGAGTTCTTTATGTATCCTGGATGCTAGATCCTTATCAGACTTATGATTTCCAAATATTCTCTCTCACTCAGTGGATTCTTTTTCACTTTATTGATAGTGTCCTTTGATGCACAAAAGTTTTTATTTTGATGAAATCGAATTTATCAATTTTTTCTTTTGTTGCTTATGATTTTGGCATTAATTTTAAGAAACCATTGCTTAATCCATGGCCATGAACATATGCCTGTTTCCTTCTAAGAGGTTTATAGTTTTAGCTTTACATTTCGGTCTTTGATTTTGAATTAATTTTTGTATATGGTATGAGATAAGAGTCCAACTTCATTCTTTTGCATGAAGATATCCAGTTGTTCCAGCACCATTTGTTGAAAGCCTATTTTTCCTCCATATAATGGTTTTGGCACCCTTGTTGAAAATCAATTGTTTGTAGACATGTGGCATTATTTCTGGACTGTCAATTCTATTCTATTGATCTACATGTCTATCCTTATGCCAGTACCACGTTTTGATTACTGTAGATTTGTAATAAGGTTTGAAATTGGGAAGTCAGTTCTCCTACTTTGTTCTTTTTCAAATTATTTGGCTATTTGGGGTCCCCTGAAATTTCACATGAATAAAATTGTGAACTGGGGATCCTCAATATTTTCAGTAAAAAAGGATATTCATCTCAGCAGTATGGCAAGATAAAAGACATACGACCTTAAGGAGACAGGACCTTATGTCTGCCACTCAAAACACAGGCAGACATCCAGACACATACACACTCAGACCACAGACACTCATGGCAAACATCAGTAACTGATGAAAGCACTTCGTCCTGTTTGGTCCATATTAAGACTCAGATTCCTTCTTAACACAGCACTCTAATTTCCAAAGAATGGGCATTTATTAGTCGTATAATTTAAACATTTTAAAACTAGATATTGTGTGGGGCTTGTATCAAAAACCTCAAAATAGAGATCATAGGAACCCCTTTCCAATTCATTTACTCATACATCCAGTAACCACTTACTGAGTATATTATGGGAAAGGCAGTATCTGATATTGGGACACAAGAAGAATTAAAAATTTCATCCATAGAAAAGGAACAGAGTGGGAAGAATAAAAAACAAACCACCTCAGAAACACAAGATCAAAAATCCACTGAAGAGAAAGATAATTCTCTGAAACACGCAAGCATATCGTTTGTTGAAAGCCTCAATGGATGTTCCTTGGGAGAGCAAAATGGTTGCTCTTCTTCAAGTTGGGTACCAAACGGCGACGTATCTGTGCTTCTGAATCTTAACCACTCCCACTCAAAAAACTTGAGTTGCTTTTCACCCACTCTCCCGGCCCTATCAGGTCTTTCACAAGGTCGTCACAACTACAGCTTCAGCTTCACTCTCCAGGCACTGCTCTGGCACCCTGGTCTTGACCTACTCACGTAGGAGGATCAGGAACAGCTCGAGCACCAGCAGCTACAGGATCTGCTCCCTCCCAGCATCTGAAGATGACAGCCACTCATAGCAGATCAGCCAGAGTTGCCTTAGAGCATCCGTAGCCGGCTCACAGACCTCCCGGGAACTGAACCACCTAAAACACTGGTGGGAAGTCTCAGATCTAGGAAAGACCATCGAATCCTAGATTCTCTTCCCCTGACTTATCAGAACCTCTATCTACAGTGGGTGAGTGTGTCCCATGCTATGAGAATGGGCTGCTTCTACCTGGAGTCTGTCTCCGATGCTTGGGAAGAAAGAGAAGGAAATCAGGGTGGGAGGGCGATCAGATAGTCCCCACTAGCTCGTGGGGGAGCACTCCCTTTCCTGCTCTGTCCCCGGGAAAGTCGGCTCTCCAGTTCCCTGGACTCCTCAAACTCCAGGAGAGTTGTGGGCTCCCAATTGGTGGGCTTCTTGGGGGCAGTAGGAAATCCTGCTTTTTTGGGAACCCAACTAGACCTTGCTGTCGGAGGCCGAGAACAGGTTCTATTCCCTGGAGAAGGAGGCTGAACGAAAAAGGCGAGACTTCAGGGAGAGCAAGCCTAACGGGCCCAGGGCCGCCTTAGCCCACTCCAGCCCAGCTTCCCAGACCTCTCCAGCTCTCCGCCCTCCACGCCGCTAGGCTGCAGCCTAGGACTCCAGGATTGAAAGTGCCGGGAGCGGCCGGCGAACGCTGACCCCACCCCTCAGCCTTGACGGACAGGCCAAGTCCATTGGCGCCTCCCCGTTTTGCTCCACCTGCGGCTCCGTCGCAGCCCTAGAGCGCACTCCATGAATCCGTGGGCTCCTCAAGTCCCCTCTAGGCTGCCCGGGGGGATTTCCGCATCTCTATTGTCGACCGAAGGCGCCCCCCCGTCATGCCCCGCGGCCAGGCCAGCACCGCCCCAGGCGGAGACCCGCGGCTTCCGGTCTCGCGCGCTTCGAGCCCGCAGCGCCCGCGGAGGAGGGTCGCCGTCGGGTCGGCGCGCGCCCCGGCTGGGTCCCGAACCCCGGAAGAGAGACTACGCTTTCCCCTCCCTTGGGAGGCGCCGACCGCGACTCCGGCTCTGGGGCAGAGAAGCGGCATGGAAGCCGAGGACCTCCAGGAGGAGCTGACCTGCTCCATCTGCCTGGACTATTTCGAGGACCCGGTGTCCATCGAGTGCGGCCACAACTTCTGCCGCGGCTGCCTGCACCGCAGCTGGGCGCCGGGCGGCCGCCCGTTCCCCTGCCCCGAGTGCCGGCAGCTGTCGTCGCCCGCGGCCCTGCGGCCCAACTGGGCCCTGGCCCGGCTCACGGAGAAGACGCGGCGCCGCCGCCAGGGCCCGGTGCCCCCCGGCGTCTGCGGCCGTCACTGGGAGCCGCTGCGGCTCTTCTGCGAGGACGACCAGCGGCCCGTGTGCCTGGTGTGCAGGGAGTCCCAGGAGCACCAGGGCCACTCCATGGCGCCCATCGACGAGGCCTTCGAGAGCTACCGGGTGAGCCGGCCGTTCCGGGGCTGCTGGTATTGCCCGGGAATACTTAATTCTCATGAAAGACCCAGGAGTCCCATTGCAAGAATGACCCCCTCCACCTGAGTTTTAGAGAAGTTAAGTGACACACGGATCTCAGAGTTGGAGTTAAAACTGGCCTTGGGAGGGGCGGTGCAAGGCTCAGTCATCACTGTGCAGAATTTTCAAGGGACTGTCCCCCAGGGGCTTCTGGTTTGAGACAAACATAATGACAGGGTGTATACCAGTGCCGTTCAAAAGAAACATAATATGAGCCACATATGTAATTGAAATTTTTTCCAGTGGTAAACAGAAACAGATGATGGTAACTTTAATAATGTATTTTATTTAACCATATTGTCCAAACTATTGTCATTCAGCATTAATTCGTATGAAAAATTATCAGTGAGATATTTTAGTTCTTTTTTCATACTAGGTCTTTGAAATCTGTTGACAGCACGTATCAATTCGGACTCTCCACATTTCAGGTGCTCATGTGGCTCATGGATGCTATATTGGACAGTGTGGGTCTGTATGTACAAGTGTCATACACAACTGATGATTTGAGAGAAGCCTGACTTGGAGTGATGAGGCTGGGTTTTGTTACTAGCTACCCTCATCAGCTGGGAAAAATCACTTAATATTTGAGTTTGGAGCTTGGCTGTCCTGCCTATCTCGTGGGTTAAGAAGCCTTAGTTGAATAAATCAGTGTACCTTCTCTGCTCCAGCCACGCTGGCCTTCTTGCTTTTGTTTCAAGCCTGTTTTCTTTCTCTACCCTCACTTTCCATCCTTTAGATCCTTTTAGCTTTTAGCTTGAAGACCTTCCTTGATCATCCTTTCCAGAGTAGCCCCACCCCCTTCCGTTACTGACGGTGTAACTCCAGTGCTCTCCGACAGAATTGGTATCTAGTAAGTACTTGTTAAATACAAGAATTTAATGATACAAGTTAAAATGTAAACTGTAAAATGCTAGACAGTTTTATCAGCAGACTATGAACAAGAAACAGATGCAAAGCTAGACTGGAAAGCGTACGTTCATTTCTTCATTCAGTAACCTTTTTTGTTGCTTATTGTATGTCAGGTATTGTTCTAGAATCGACGTCAATGGATGAGAAAGACATGGGCTCTGACTTATTGGGGACGTAAGCATGTAGACGAATAATTTCAGTATATGTGAGAGTTATCAAAGTTTGTTCCAAGTACACAGAAGGTCTGAGGCTGGAGGGATCAGTGAGGAGTGAGGAAAGGCTTCACAGAGGAATTAAATGTGAGTTGATTCTTGAAGGGTGAGTGCAAGGTAGAGGAGAGAATATTCAGGCCAAAGGAACAGCATATTCAGCAGTGTGGCGCCGTGGAATAATGTGTGCTGTATAAGAGGACTAGAGGTTGCTCCATACTTCTGGAGTGTAGAGCGTGGGAGGGAGGATGGAAGGAGTTGAGGTTGAAGAAACAGGTGAAAGCCAGTCCTGAAGGATCTTGTTCATCATACTGAAAAGATTGAGCTTTCTCTTTCAGGCAGTGGCAGTCATCGAAGGATTTTAAGGCAGGGAGTGACATGATCAGTTTCTTTGCTTTAGAAAGATCCCTTTGGCATCCATGTGGATGAATGGAGAAGGCCAGTTCGGCTACTGTTGCACCATTTCAAGCAGGAGTTATTAGGGGCCTGCATTAGTGCAGGGCAGGGGTGATGGAGAAGAGTGGATGGATTAATTATGAGCTGGAGTTGAATGACTTGGTGACTAATCGGACTTGGTTGGTCAGGGAGAGATGGGAGTCTAGGATGGCAGTCCAGGTATCAGGTGCTCATTTGGGATGTGTTGAGTGTGAAGTATCTGTGACAGAAAGTCCAAGGAAGAGGGACAGGAGGCAGGGGGCATAGGAAGGTAGAAACACAGTATTTTAGAATCATCAGCCTATCCTTGAAGTCATGGAAGAAGTAAGCAGATGAGATTTTCCCAGGGGGACAAAAGGGTAACGAAAAGGGTAACGAAAGAGGGGCGTGAAGAGAAGCTTGGGAAACACCAATATTCAGTAGCCAAAAGAGGTTGAAGGACCCATGAGAGAAATGGAAGGGAAAATACATTTGTGGGGGAGGGCTGAGACAAGTGTAAGTGGTTGGATCTGAAAGGGGAAAATAGCACTTAAAGCTTCAATCCTCAGCAATAATAGTAATAATAATATTAATACTAGCATCACTTATTGATGACTTATGCACCACCCACAGTTCTAAGCATTTTTTGTGTAGTAATTCTTTAATCCTCATAGCAGCTCTATTAGATGGATTTTGTTATCCCCATTTTGCAGATGAGGCAACTGAGGCACAGAGACGTGAGGTCACTTGCCAAAGGTCACAGAACTAGGAAGTGGCTAAGCTTGGACTGAGGTCCTCTAACCCCTAGTCCATTGCACTTTTCACTATGCTACAGCCAATCTAGCTGAGAAGACTTCTTGGAGGAGGTGGGATTTCAGGATTAAACAAATGGTCCAGCAGCTGGGGAGTGAGTGGGTAAGACTAATGCTGCCGTGGGTTGAATGTCACAACGTTGACTGGGCAGGTATTCAGGAGTCAGGTCATTAGGCAGAATTCCCCAGTGTGTGTCCTTTTCTGCACCCTCCTCTGCTTAGTCATTGCTCCATTGAGCCATCTCCAGCTCCATCCCCACCCCAAGTTAGAAAAGCATTAACTCGCTCTTGGGAGGAGCGACCCTGTTTCCACCATCCCATTCCTAGCTCAAACTCACATGGGTGCACTGTGTCTTAGAAGTTGGGACCTCTCTAAGTCCATGGAAAATACCTCCCGTCCTACACGCATACCTGGCCCTGCACACGTGTGCCAGATGCTTCCTCTCAGGATCTGAGCCCCTGAGCACTGTATCTAGGAAACCTGCTTTGATGAATTCCTAGCCCACTCTGTTTGCTCCTTCGGGCCACACCAGTGGTTCAGGATACACATTGGGACCACCCAGGAGCACTTTTAGGAAATAGCCAAACCAGGCCTCTCCCTCACTCCCCGCCCCCAGGATTTTGATTCGGTTGGTAGGGCTGTTGGCGTCAGCGTTGTTTAAAAGTTCTTTAGGCTATTCTGATGTACAGATAAGATAGAGAACCATGGACCTACATCTTAGTACTTTCACGGAGGGAAATCTCAAAAAATCTTTTCCAACGGAAGTTGGTTTTAAGAGAGTCGTTGGTCATGGGGGAGAGAAAGAACAGAGAAAGAAATAGCTTCAAAAACTTCAGGGAGCAAATTGTTTGCATGGAAAAGGCTTCCAAGCATAGCTCTTCTTTCCCTCATGCCAATATTTAGTCCACTGACTCTAGGAGCCAATCCCTTCATTGGTATTCATTTAACAAATACTTCTTGAACACCTGTTTTGTGTCAGATACTGTACTGCAGTACCAGACACAGCACTGGGAATACAATGGTGAACAAGACAAAGACTGTTTCCATGGATCTCACAGTCTAGTTGGGCTGGGCTTAGAAGGTAAACAATCGACAGACAAATAAATGACATAATCACAGGTTGTGATGTGTGCTGTGAAAGAGATAATGTGCCATGACAGAGAAGTAACAGGGGCTTTCATAAGGTGAACACAGTAGTCTTCTCTGAGGAGATGACATTTCAGTTGAGACCTGATGGATGAAAAGAAGTCAGCCATCTGAGGAGCTGTGGGAAGAACGTTCCAGACAGTGGACGGCAAATTCAAAGACCCTGAGGCTGTGAAGAGCTGGACGTATTATTGAACTGAAAGAAGGTCTCTGCACCTGGAGCATCATGAGAAGGAGAAAAGTAGCACAAGATGAGCTGGGAGATGTAGACAAGGGTGGGGTCATTTTGGGCCATAATAAGGTGACATAATAAGGTGTTTGGGTTTTCTTGGTGGTGAGGAAAGTCAGTGAAGAATCTTAAGCAGGGGAGTGACATGATCTGATTGATTTTTAGAAAGATTATTCTGCCTTCTCTGGATAGCGGATGAGAGAAGGACAAGATTGGAAGTAGGGAGGCTAGTCAGGAGGTTATTGTAGGTGTCCAGACAGGAGACGATGGTGGCTTGAACCAGGAGGTGGCAGTAGGGATGGTGGAGGTCGTTAGATTGAATACAGAGGTTACAATGACTGAAATTCACAGAACCTAAGGGCTGGGATGGTATTCAAGAGACCAGCTAGTCCAGTGGTCTTCATCTTATAGTTAAGGAAGCTGTGACACAGGAAATGTGTGAGGCTGACTTGCTCAGATACACAGCTAGTTTGTGCAGGTCTAGACCGAAACTCAGGTCTGATTTGAAGTTTGATGTTATTTGAACTACAAGTCAGCAAACGTATTCGTTGTATAAATGTATACTTTTTTATTATGCTTATGATTTTCTATATGCAATTTTCTGATGTTAAATGCAAAGAAAGTGATTTTTTAAACTTCTGCTACCTCTGTCTTTGAATTGCTTGGTGTTGCCCTCCTGCCACCTTGTGGCAGTTCCTGTCGTTGCAGGGAAGGAGTTTTCTAACCTTCTCAAAAGGTTGCCAGGTTTCCTCAGGGGCCCTGGTTAGATCTGGCTGTGGCAGGATTCAGAAAGACTAGGTGGAGTATTGGCTAATAGAACCAATCATACAGGATAATTCCTGCATACTGGAATTGTTAAGGACTTCTGAAAAATTGACAAGTTCTACTTAAAAGATTATTTAATTTTTTCCCATTATCAAACAAAAGTGAAAAATTAAAAAAAAAAAATCTTGGTCACAATTCAGAGGAGCTATTCATCTCATTACAAGCCTCACACGTAGATCAAATTTGACACTGATGACAAAGTGGCAGATATATAACTGAATAAAGGAATAAAATTACTTGAGCTAGCATACTGAGTAGCAGGATTATATACCTAGTTAACAACTATGGGTAATAAATAGATTGTGTAATGTTAGGAAACATTGTATTAGGAAGAAGATAGCACAGGTGATTGTGTGATCTATAACAGAATTATATAAATCTCTTTATAACCTACTTTTATTTTTCCCCAGCGTTTTGCTATGCAGTTTTCAAGCATTCATCAAAGTTGAAGGAATTTTATAATAACACTAGTATACCCACATCTGGATTCTGCCATTAACATTTTACTCTGTTATCACCTATCTATCCGTCTGTATCTTCTCTGCATCTACCAATTATTTTATTTTGAAGCATTTTGAAGTTAATTGCAGATAGTACACTTCTTCCTGTATTTTAGTATGCATATCATTAACCAGATTTAACATTTTTTATGGTATTATTTGAGGTAAAATTTCGTACAATTAAATACACACCCTTTAAGTGTCCATTTGCTAAGCTTTGAGAAATGCATACACCTGGGCACCGCAGGCTCATCTCAAGATAGAGAACACTACCCTTACCCCAGGAAGCTCCTTCACACCCTTTCCCAGTTAATCTCTGCTCGCTCCCCCATCCAATACAACCACTGTTCTCGTTTTTTTCCACCACAGATTAGTTTTGCCTGTTCCGGAACCTCATATAAATGGAATCATATAGTCTGTACTCTTCTAAGTAGGCTTCTTTTGCTCAGCACGTTGATTTTGAGATTCATCCATTTTGTGTCAGTAGTCTGTTACTTTTTACTGCTGAGTAGTATTCCATTATGTGAATAAGCCGCTCTGAATATTCTTGTACAGGTCTTTTTGTGGACACATGTTTTCATTTTTCCTGTGTCTAAGAGGAGAATTGCTGGGCCCTGGGATTAATGTATGTTTAGTTTTATATGTTTTTCCAGTGTGGTTGTACCATTTCACACACCCACCAACATTGTATCAGAGTTCATGTTGCTCCACATCCTTGCCACCTTTGGTGTTGTCAGCCTTTTAGATTATCTAACTTTATTTTAACCATTGTCATTTGTAAATGATTGGAAGTAAACTGATAATGCTTAGTTTTAAAAAATTCTCCTAGGAGAACCTGATATCAGAAATCTCAAGAGTCCGTTGCACCCCTATGTTCATCGCAGCATTATTTACAATAGCCAAGATGTGGAACCAGCCTACATGCCCAGAAACTGATGATTGGATAAAGAAGATGTGGTATATATACACAATGGAATACTACTCAGCCGTAAAAAAAGACAAAATTGGCCCATTCACAACAACGTGGATGGACCTCGAGGGTATTATGTTAAGCGAAATAAGCCAGTCAGAGAAAGACGAACTCTGTATGACTCCACTCATAGGTGGAAGTTAGTATAGTGATAAGGAGATCAGATCGGTGGTTACCAGGGAAAAGGGGGGGTGGGGGGAGGGCACAAAGGGGGAAGTGGTGTATCCACAACATGACTAACAAAAATGTACAACTGAAATCTCACAAGGTTGTAATCTATCATAACATTAATTAAAAAAAAAAAATTCTCCTAGGGAAGAATTAAAATAAAATTGTATTGCTAGTTTCTTAGTTCTATTCATTTTTTTTTCTTTTAGCTTTTTGTTTTGATGTACATTCAGACTTAAGGAAAGTTGCCCTAGGACACTCTTCAGCATTTCACAGTATTCACCATTTGTTAAGTTAAATTTTCTCTACCTTTGGTATATAAGAAACCATTCTCTCTTGGTTTTTCGCCAACCACTCATCTAGTTTCTTTGCAGGATTTTCGTCCTCTGCACACGCCTTAAACGTAGTTGTTGCAGTTCTAGCCTTGATCCTCCTCTTCCTCTGTAGAATCTTACCCGCTCATTTTACGCACCCGCGTGGCTTCCACTGCTGCCTGTGCTTTAACCCCTAAATCTGCTTCTGCAGCTCAGATCTCCTTCTTGACTCTTAACTGCTAACTATGTCCACTTGTCTGTCCCAGAGACATCTCAAACTCAGTTGATTCAAGTTGAATTTATTTTCTTTCCTTCCATTTGCATACTGCTCATTTCCCTCTATTTCCTAACTTGGTAAATAACCTACGATCCAGCTATTTACTCAAGCCAGAACCCAGGGGCTAAAGCTAGACTCCTTCCTCCTGTAACCATTTGGTCATCACTTCCTGTTGGTTTTCCCCTTGTGTGTGTCTCTCACCTGCCCACTTCTGTCTCTAAGGTCGTGTCTGACATCTGCTATAAGGTGCTGCCCCTGTCCAGAGCCCACTTTGTTAGTGTTGATTGACTCATTTTATTTTTTAATAGCTTATTCAGGTTTTTAAATTACAAAAATCATATATGCCTCTTGTAGAAATTCAAACAAAACAGAAATTTATACAATTTCTAGTCTTCGCCCCCGGCTTCCAACCCATTTTTATTCCCCAGAAATAACCAGTGTTAATAATACTTAGGTATATATCCTTCTAGATATTCCTTCTGTTCAAATACAAACACACACACTCACACACACGTGCACAGGCATGTATATTCTTTTCAAAACATAATTATGCAATACTCTTGTTTTACAGCTTAGTTTTAACTTAATATAACATGTCGATATATAGAGAGCTGCCTGAAATTGATGCAGAGTATCAATATACCATAATTTATGTATTACTTCCCCATTTATGGATAATGAGTAATGCTGCAGTGAACATTCCTATGCACACGGATTATTTTTGCTAGTGTTTTGTGGCATAAATTATTAGAAGTAGGATTATGCACATTTTAAATTTTGTTAATTCTGCCAGTTTCCTTCAAAGAGGTGGCACCTTTCTACTCTCCTACTATTATGGTGCCAGATGCCTTCTCCTTTGCCAATACTGTGTAATTATTAATCTTCTAACAATTTTTAGTTTTTGCCCACTTAGTAGGCAAACTCTATAAAGTGTTATGGTGATTTGAGAACAGAGTATTTCTTTCACATAGGCCTGTGACCTTCAACATTTTCTCAGTCTCATTCCCTTTTTGGATTAGGTGAGTTTTAGCTCTTGAACAAGGAAGATACTTGGAGAGGTGATTTCTCTCTGATATGTGTTTCTGCTGGCAGGAAAAACTCCTTAAGATTCAATGTAGTCTGATGGCCAAGATGAAGAAAGCCATGGATTTACAGGACGTGGAAGTGAAGAATGCTGCAGAGTGGAAGGTAACAGCAGAAGTGGTCAGGCATTTCTTGCCCCTGAGGCCCATTCAGTCCAAGGCTGCTTAAGGGGTTTTGCTTGAAAGAGCTTGCAGGATGTCATCACTTGTCAGGCGCCTGGCAGATAAGGTGATAGAACGGGAAGCATCTGTCCCTACTGACCTGTGGCTTTGGGAGATGTGAGTTCCACACACTTCATCCTCATATCTCTATTTTGTGGTAGTGTGCCCTTCCTTACCACTTTTTCCTAAATATACATCCTAGTTTAGAGTCACTTCGGGTCCATGGCATTGTGGAAGGTAAAATGGACTTAGCTTTCAGAGATGCTAGTCTTGTTGCGAGGCATGATGTGCGCACACGTGCGCATCTAAAGATTTCACAAAACTGAACAGTAGGTGTTCTGAGAGCTAAACTAAATAATAGATGTGAAAGTGCATTTTAGTTTAAAAAGTATACAAACAGGGCACTGCTATCAGTACAGTTATGTATCGCTTAACAACTGGGGTATGTTCTGAGAAATGCATCGTTAGTGATTTCATCAATTTGTGAACACCATAGAGTGTACTTACACAAACCTAGATACTATAGCTTGTCACACACCAGGGCTATATGATACTAATCTTATGGGACCATTGTTGTATTTGTGGTCCTTTGTTGACCACAACAAAAGGACCGCAACAAAAAGGACCATTTGTGGTCCTTTGTTTGTGGTGCGTGACTTCAGCAGAGACTCAAATGTTACAAAGAATGAATTAATACTGTAAAGACTAGTACGGAGATATCAAGTAAATATAAATAGAGGAGTAGTGGAAATTTGTTGGCGGCGGGCAGGAGCTTTTCTGGAGGAGATGGTTAGGATGGAAGGACCATGGATTGTTGGGGAGACGTGCAAGGAATTTAGGCGCAAGGGCCAAGCACAACATGGACTGAGCAAATCTCATGTGACTGTAGGAGAAGCTGAAGAATCAGCGGTTAAGATTCAGCACAGAGTTTGCAAAGTTGCACCGCTTTCTGGCTGAAGAAGAGCAACTGTTTCTTCAGAGACTGAGCAAAGAAGAAGAAGAGGTGAAGAAGAAGGGGAAAGACAACATGTTACGGCTCAATCAAATGATCGCTTCCCTGAGGAAGCTCATCGCAGAGGTCGGGGAGAAGAGCCAGAGCTCCACCCTGGAATTGCTTCAGGTGAGGCGGGCGGGGGAGGGGTAAGTTCACAGCGTTAACTGATCTCCCTCTGGTCCTTAGAGCTGAATGTCTTTCTTGGTGAGTGGGTTTAATAGAAGAAATGTTTTCTCTGTTGATAATTGTGTTACTACTGTCATTATAAAATTAGAGTCAAAGATTCACCATTCAAAGGAAATTAAGGTGAAATTTAGGTATGCTGAGCTCAGGTAATGTGAGGTACTTAGATTCACTTGGTCTAATGGTTTATCTAGGATCTAAAGCACATATAAGACTTCCGTTCATCTTATTTATATGTTTATAATTCTCTGTTAAAACAGTAAAACAGCAAACATAAAACCACAAAGTAGATAATTGTGTCGACAGTTTTTAAGAGAAATTTATCTTTCTCACTAGTTCTTTTTTTTTGGTGTGGAAGATTGTCGCTGAGCTAACATCTGTGCCAATCTTCCTCTATTTTTTATGTGGGACACTGTTAGAGCGTGGCTTGACGAGCAGTGTGTAGGTCTGTGCTCGGGATCCAAACCCATGAACCCTGGGCTGCCAAAGTGGAGCATGTGAACTTAAGCACTACGTAACCAGGCAAGCCCCATCTCACTAATTTTTAACCGTTACAATCACAGCTTGATATAACTTTGTTCTTAGCCCTAGATTTTGATTGGTATGTTTATTTAAATAATTTCTAAATATTTAGCAACCTTTAAAAGATTATAATTCTGATTCATTAGCACTTAGATTTGGGTCTGTGGGCCACTTTGTTACCAAAAGGCCTTCCCTTGAGTTAATCTTTACCATCATATCCTCTGTAGGTAAAGTGTCCTTATAGCTTCTTTCAGTTTTTGGAGGATCCAACGTTTGTGACTGTCTTCTTTTTCTTTCACTAAAAGAATTCACTTTTGGTCTCAGATCCCTCAGAACTCTCTTTCCTCCATATCATGTGACTGAAGATGAAGGAACCATTGAAGAATCAAGAATACCTTCAGTCTGCCATTACTATTTTTTCTTATCAGAAGGAGACAATTTTCTATTCTACTCTTAAGGAAGAGAGAAACGTGACCCACTCACCAGTTATTTTCAACAAGAAATTGCTATCTGGGTGTTATATCTAAATGTAATGATTTCCAAGAATTGTCTAAAACTTGTACAACTTGCTTGAGCAATGAAGCTACAATGACATATCCAAATATATACTCCAGCAGAATCTTTGGAAGACCATGTGTAAACAGTGTTCTTAAAATATAGGTTTAACATCTAGTCAGAGTCTAAAACCTCAAAGATATACATGAAGCAGCAAAATGCTTACAAAAAAATATATCAGCCAACATAAGTGCAGGGTTAGGGAAGTGATTAAAGAAGGTGGAACTGGATCATAGGATCTCGGAGCCTAAGAGAACTTACTTTACTGATTTTGTCCATCCATGGGTCTATCCATTTGTTTTTTTCATTTGTTCCTTCACTTTTAGCACATAACTAACTTCTATTCTTTTTAGAAACAGAAACATTGAAAATAAAAATCATTCTGTTGTGCTTAATTTTTATCTTTTGATTTGAATGCTCTTGCAAAATATGTAGCATTGCTTGGGTGTATGTGTTTTTAATTTATACAATGATTTTGAGTTCTTGTTGCATTCTGTTTCTTGCCTTTTTCCTTAGGCACTATGTTTTTAAGATCCAGTCCTGTTGCTATATAAACATTTAATCCATATGTCCATCCACCACCTTTTGTGCCATTTCCCTCTTCTAGTAATGGATACCCAGGTTGCCCCCAGCACTGTTACCACTACAAGTAATGCTGTAGTGAAATCATCAATGTCTGCCCTTGTCGTTATTGTTTTTGTCCTTATTGGTTCTTGAGTTTGCTCTCTGGCTCTTTCCTCAACATCTCGAGTTGACATGCTTAACTTACTTAGATTTACCCTTTTGTTTGCTGGTAAATTTATGCTATACTTTCACCTTTAAGTATTGCTTTAACTGTGTCCACAGATTTTGGCAATATTATTTTTACTGTCATAATAAACATTTAAAAACATTTTAAGTATAACATCTATAGAGAAAAATGTATAAATCATAAGCTTGACAAGTTATCGCTAAGCGACCCACCCATGTAACCACTACCCACCTCAAGAAATAGAATGTGAGTGGCATCCCAGAAGCCCTCCTCATGCCTCCAGTCAATGCAACTTCCCTTCTCCTCAAAGGTATTCTCCTTCTAGACTTCTCACTCTTCTTTTTGCCTGCTTTTGAGTAAGAATCTTTCAGTATGCACTCTTTTGTGTCTGGATTCTTTTGTTCAACATTATGTTTGTGAGATTGTTCTATGTTGTTGTACTTGGCAGTAGATGTTTGTTTTCATCACTGCTGAGCAGTAGTTCTCAATCAGGAGTCGTTTTGCTCCCCGAGGAGGACGATGTCTGATGTTTTTGTTGTCACAACTCAGGGGTAGTTACTACTAGCATCTAGTGTGTAGAGGCCATGGATGCTGCTGAGCATCCTATAATGCACAGAACATGCCTCCCCCACAGTTCCCAGCAAAGACTTCTCCAACCCAAAATGTTACTAGTGCCGAGGTTGGAAAACCATGCTGTATAGTATCCCATTGTGTCAATATACCAAAATGTATTATTCATTTTCCTCTTGGTGAAATCTGGGTTGTTTTTAGTTTTACTGTTACAAAAAAGCACTACCAGCGTGCCTTTTTTGGTGCACTTATGTATACATTTCTGTCCATTGTGTACCTAGGAGAACAATTCCTGGTCACAGGGCATGCATATGTTCAGTTGAGTAAATGATTCCAAACCGTTTCTCAAAGTGATTGTATTAATTTTCACCATTACTAGCAATGTGTGAGGGATCCAATTGCTCAATATCCTCATCAATACTTAGAATTGTCAGTTCTTTAATTTTGGCTATCCTGGATGTATATATATTATCTCATGCTCTCGATCAACACTCCTTTCTTCCTCCCAAAGGGTGGATGGTGTTTCCCTGATGACTAATGAGGTTGAGAACTTTTTCATATGGTAATTAACTGTTTTGATATACTCTTTTAAAAAAAACCAACTCTCCTGAGGTATAATGTACATATCATATAATTCACCCATTTTAAGTGTACAATTGAGTGATTTTTCTGAATTTACCAAGTTGTGCATTCCTCACCACAGTCTGGTTTTATAGCATTTCCATCAGCCCAGTAAGATCCCTCATGCTTGTTACAGTTAATCTCTGTTCCTACTCCCAGAGCCAGACAACTTACTTTTCTGACTGTTTAGATTTCCCTTTTCTAACTATGTAAACAGAAGCATACAATATGTGGTCTTTTGTGTATGGCTTCTTTCATTTACTATAGTGTTTTTGAGATTCATTCATGTTGTAACACATATTAGTGTTGTATTAACATACCTTTTAAAATGCCCGAATAGGATGCCATTGTAGAATATACCACATTTTGTTTATCTCTTCTCCAGTTGATGGACATTTGGGTTGTTTCCACCATTGGCTCTTATGAATGGTGCTGCTATGAAGATTTGCCTGCCATTCTTTGTGTGGACATATATGTTCATTTCTCTTGGGTAGATAGTAGGAGTAGAATTGCTGGGCTATGTGGTATATTTATGTTTCACTTTTTAAGAAACTGCCAAACCTTTTTTCAAAGTGGTTGAACCATTTTATATTCTTACCACATCCTCACCAATATTTGTTGTCTGTGATTAAATAGATGGAGAAATAGGCAAAAGGCCAGGAGAGAGTTAATGTCATAGGGCTAAAGGAGAAAGAATAGAGTTTCAAGAAAAGAATTGGTCAACATTGTCAAATAGTGCAGAGGCGTCACATGAAAAAAGACTACGTTGTATCAACCCATTGGCTTTGGCACTGTGAGATCATATGTGACATTAACAAAAACAACTGACAGAAAATACCTGCTTACAAAGTTGAGTACTGCATCTCAAGAGGAAGATCCATCACTTACTTCTTTCTTTTTTTTGCAGAATCCAAAAGATGTGTTGACCAGGTATGAGCTCCTGCTTTCTTTTGAGGCCCTGATTGGAGTGGTAAAGATACAGCTGAGCAGAGAGGGAAACATGGCCTGGGCTCCATAGATCAATCTGGGCACACCCTGAGGGGTCTGTGGAGGAGGAATTCTACTGTTCATTTTTGGAAGGAGGAATGCGAAAGAAGTGATCTCAGCTTTGGGCTTGGAACCTTCAGGTGGGAGTTGGGGGTCTTGGCTGCCCTAGCTGTCGCCTAAAAGAGCAGCCTCTGTACTTTCTTTAGGAGTGAGAACCAGGATGTGAATTATTCCCTTGAAGTTCTAAAGGTGAAGACTGTGTGCCGGATACCAATGATGAAGGAAATGCTGAAGCGATTCCAAGGTGAGCAGAATTTCTAGGATATGGCGCTCCCTAGAAATCTTTCAAGTAAGAGAATAATTAGTGAGAAAAGTCTGGAAAGGAAGGAGGAAACAGCATGCAGTTAACACAAGTGTCAGGAAAAATGGTAATAACTACTTGAATATGCTTCATTCAAGAAACGTTTATTTAACACATACTGTGTGTTATAAGGTACTGGTGATACAAAAAGAAGAAGACCTATTCTTTTCTTTCTAAGAATTCATTACAGAGACAGACATGTATCACTTACTATAATATAGTGGTGTGAATAACATCTTATAGAAGTCCAGAAGAAGAGCTCTGTTGGAGATGAGGTGGGGGAGTTTTCATGGCAGAGGTGACAGTTCTGAGATTTGAGGGCTGAGTAGGAGTTTGCTGAGTGGAAAATGGGGATATACCCTTCCAAGCAGAGTCAGCAGCATGAGCTAAGGTGTGGATAAAATGAAAGGGGGGTAGCTAATGTGACTAAACCTTAATGTACATTCTAGGGAAAAGCAGGAGCTGAGGTTGAAAAGATGAGTGTAGGAAAGACTGAAGATAAACTTACTGGATCTCCGGGGAAGTACCAAGGCATGTACACGTTGTATAAGCTATGCAGGCAGTTCTCACGTGTGCATCCCTGATTAAGAACCATGTTGTGAGTGTCTACTTCCAGCTAAAATGAAGTAACGGGGACTGGATTTACTCTTCTGCCTGAAACTTAGTTAATTAAAAAAACAAAAACAGAACACACAATACATGAAACAACAGTTTTCAAAATACTGCATGTCAGGTAGTGAAGGACAGTGATCCCTGAAAAATGTGAAACAAATGAGGTAAGCTCTATGATTGCCCCAGCCTGCTGCCTTGCGAGAGTTTCCAGGCCATCTCAGGGAGGATAGCAGGTGGAGCCAGGTAGACTCCCTGAATTGGGGAATGGAGCTGAGAGAACAGGAACAACAAAGCAGTGCGAGTTCAGAGAGCACTGGAGAGGAGAGCTGTACAGAGACAGGATCCTGACGATCTATAGAGGCACCTCCTAAATATTCATCAGAGTGCTGATCAGTACATGGTTGTGAAGAACTATCTGAGGGTGAGGAAGGAAGTTTCTAAAATGATTAGAAGGAACAGTTTCTGGTGCTCTCACAGGGCTAGGAATAGTGCCTGTTCCTATCAGCCAGATTGGAAAGCTCGTAATTCATGGGGCATTGGGTAGAGTACTTAGGAAAATCTTGCCTCACTAGTGGAATAATTAACTATACTGAGCACTACTTTGGACCCACCTTACAAATCATGCAAGCAAGACCCAAAAGGATTGAATTACTTCCCAGTAACTTGACTGCATCCCAGGACAAAGCTCAAGAAGACGGATGGGAATGAAAAAAAGGTTTGAGTACCCAACAATGTAAATTCACAATGTCTGGCATCCGATCAAAGATTACCAGGCATGCATAAAGGTAGGAAAGCATGACCCATAGTGAAGAGAAGAATCAGTTGAAACTGACCCAGAATTGATCTAGATGTTAGAATAAGCATACAAGGACATTCATACATTATAATTGTATTCTCTAAAGAGGCATATAGAGACATGGAAGATATAAAAAAGACCTAGATCGAACTTCTGGAGATGAAAACTACTACATGATGAGATAAAGAATACACTGGTTGGGATTAATAGTTGAGTAGATATTTCAGAACAAAAGATTAGTGAACTTGAAGACAGAACAGTAGAAACTGTGCAAAACGAAACACAGGTTAAAAAAAGAACTTAAAAAATGAAGAGTAAGCTGTGGCACAACTTCATGCAGCCTTACGTATGGTAATCGGGGTCCCTAAAGGAGAGGAGTGAGGATGGAGATTAGACAGAAAAAATATTTGAAGAAATAATGGCTAAACATTTTTCAGATTTGATGAAAACTCTAAGTACAGAGATCCAAGAAGCTAAAGAAACCCTAAGCATGAGAACTATGAAGAAAACTACACCAAGGCACATCATAATCAACTCACTCAAAATCAGCAATAAAGAAAAAATCTTATTAAGAGATGCAACAAGAGAAAGAGGACATGTTACCTAACAGTGGAACAAAGACAAAGGTGACACCACATTTCTCATTGGTAACAATGCAAGTGAGCAAAATCTTTAAAGTACTGAAATTAAAAACTGTTAGCTTAGAATCCTATTCCTGGCAAAAATACACTTCAAAAACAAAGGTGAAATAAAGATGTTTGCAGATATACAAAAACGGAAAGAGTTTACGTTCAACACTGCAAGAAATGTTAAAGGAAGTCCTTCAGGCAGAAGGAAAATGTTACCAGATGGAAGTCTGTATCTACGCAAAGAAGTAAAAGATCACCCAAAGTGGTAATGATGTGAGTAAATATATATATTTTTGTTATTATTTGAATCTCTTTAAATGGTAATTGTGATGGTTAATTTTTCCGTTAAGTTCACTGGGCCGTGGGGTGCCCAGATATTTGGTTAAACGTTATTCTCCGTGTTTCCGTGAGGGTGTTTTGAATGAGATTAACATTTAAGTCTGGAGACTTGAGTAAAGCAGATTGCCCTCCATAATGTGGGTGTTCCTCATCCAGTCAGTTGAATGCCTGAATAGACCAAAAGGCTGAACTTTCCCACAGAGAGAGACTCCAACAGCAGACTGCCTTTGGTCTTCATCTGTAACATTGGCTTTTCCTGCCTGAAGGCTTTCAAACTGGAACATTGGCTATCCCTGGGACTCGAGCCTGCCATCCCACACATATAGTGACTGACAAGTCACATATGAGCCAATCCCTTATAATCTCTCTCTCTGTGCGCTTCCTGTATACACTTCTCTATAAACACTGGTTCTGTGTCTCTGGCAAACACTAACTAATACACTAATTGGCTGTTTAAACAGACAGACAAAAAATGATGTATTGTGGCATTTATAACATATTTACATGTGAGGTGCACAGCAACAACAGATGAAAGTTGGGAGAGGAGAATGGAAGTACACTATTATATGGTTCTTATATGTGAAGTGGTATAATATCACTTGAAGGGAGACTGTGATAAGTTAAAGTTGTATACTGTAAACCTTACAGCAGCCACTAAAATAAAACAAGGAGTTATAGTTAATAAGCCAATAAAGGAGATAAAGTGGAATCATAAAAAAATTACTTAATCAAAGAAGGCAGGAAAAGAGAAAAAAGAACAAATAGGACAAATAGAAAACAAGTAGCAAGAAGATATACACAAACCTAACCATATTAATAATCATATTAAATATAAATGATCTGAATACTGTATTCAAAAGGAAGAGATCGATTGGATTGAATAAAAGAGCAAGACTCAACTATATGCTTCAAGAAACACACATTAAATATAAAGACTTACGTATGTTCAAAGTAAAACGGTGAAAAAAGATATACCGTGCTAACATTAGTAAAAAGAAATCTGGAATGGCTAAATTAATATCAAAGTAGATTTCAGAGCAAAGAATATTACCAGAAATAAAGAAGGTCATTTCCTAATGGTAAAGAGGTCGTTTCATCAGGAGGACATAACAGTTCTAAACAATTATACTCCTAATGATAGAGATTCAAAATATACTAAGCAAAAACTAATAAAGCTGCAATAAGAAATAGACAAATCCACAATTATAGCTGGACTTTTCAATAATTTTCAGAACAAGTAGGCAGAAAATCAGCAAGGATATAGTAGACTTGAATACTACTAGCAACCAACTTGACCGCACTGATGTTTATTGAACACCCAACGACAGCAGAATACATTTTTTTTTAAGGGTACATGGAACATTTTCCTAGATAGACTAGTGTAGGCCATAACACAAATCTCAGTAAATTCAAAAGGATTCAAGTCATACAAAATATGCTCTCTGACCACAAAGTATTTAAGTTAGAAGTCAGTAACAAAAATATCCTTGGAAAATCCTCAGATGTTAGGAAACTAAATAACATACTTCTTAAAAACCCATGAATTAAAGGAGAAATCAAAAGGGAAATTAGTCAGTACTTTGAACTGAATGAAAAAGAAAACACAACATATCAGAATTTGTGGGGTGCAGCTAGAGCAGTACTTAAGGGGAAATTTATAGCACTAACCACCTGTATTAGAAGAGAAGAAAGTTCTCAATTGAGTGACTTCAGTTTCCACCTTAAGACACCAGGAAAAGAAGAGCCCCAAATAAAGCCCAAAGTAAACAGAAGAATGGAAATAATAAAAATCAGAGCAGAAATCATTGCAACAGAATACAGAAAAAAAGGAAAAAACCCAGAAAAATCAATGAAACCAAAAGCTGGTTCTTTGAGAATATCAATTTTATTGATTATCTTTAGCCAAAATGACCAGAAAAAAAAAGAGAAGACACACATTACTAGTATCAAGAATGAGAGAGGCAACATCAGCACAGATTCTATACATATTAAAAAGATAATAAGGGAATATTATGAGCAACTTTATGCTGATGGATTCGACAATATAGATGAAATGGCAAAGTCCTTAAAAGACACAAATGACCAAAACTTACTCAAGAAAAAAATAGATAACTGGAATAACCCTTTTTCAGTGAAGGAAATTGGTGTTGTAGTTAAAAACCTTCCCAAATGGTTTCACTGGTGAATTCACCAAACATTTAAGAAATATCTATTCTACATGAACTCTTACAAAAAAATGAAGAGGAGAGAATATTTCCCAGTTCATTCTATGAGACCTGCATTACCATGATACCCAAATCAGACAAAGACATTAAAAGAGAAAAGAACTATAGATCAATGGTCCTCATGAACATAGAAGAATTCTAAAGAAAATTTTAGCAAATTGAATCTAACAATGTATTGAAAGGGTAATACATCGCAATCAATTGGGATTTATCCCAGAAAAGCAGGGTTGGTTTAACATTAGAAAAATCAGTGTAATTCGTTAGCAATCTAAAAAGGGAAAACTATACGATCACCTTAGTAGATGCAGAAGAAGCATTTGTCAAACCTAACATCCATTCCTGGCTTAAAAAAGAGTCTCTGGAACTAGAGTGACAGAGAGGGTTTGAGAGGGAAGAGAATTTGGAGACAGGGAGGAAGTTATAAACAGTTAAAGTGAGAGATGCTAAAGATCTGAGTGAAGGCAGTGGCAGTGGAAATGGAGAGGAGGAAAAGAACCTGAGTGATATTTCAGAGGTAGAGTTGATACAAGTTGGTCACTATCAGCTATTGAGGGTCACAGGGAAAGAAGAGTCAAATAATCTCAAGATTTCAAAGTATGACTGTTTGGATGGAAGTAATGCTCTTACACCTTAGAAAACATAGAAGACAAGATGTCTGCATGTGAGGGAGGATTAGTCTCAAGAGGGTGGAAGGGACTTAGGATAATGAGTTCCATTTTGAGTTATCTCTTGGGGGCCTGTGGAGATGCCCAGTGAGCAGAAACCTTGTCACTGATGACATCTATGTTTACCTGTACAAAGAACCAGCCGGTCAACAACCTTGGTCTGGTACTGATTCCATAAGTCAGAATTTGTTAATGTTTCTCCAAATTTTATGCTGATTATGAAGACTTGGGCCATGAAATAGTGAGCTGCCCATTTTATAGGTCTTGGTCTTTGAGAGCAGAAGGGAATGAAGATTTCAGGTTGCTAAAGCTTGTACTAGGGCCTGCTAGGCCCAGCTGAGGATCAGCTGACAGTCAGCGATGAGTTTCATCTCTAACGGTACTTGTTAGGAGGAGAAGGTTGGAATTGAAGCTGGAAAAGATGGGCATTTCTGGAGGAGGGTTGGTGGTAAGCGATTGCATTATTTATCTCAGCTCTCATTTTCTCTACAGTGGCTGTAAATCCAGCTGAAGACACAGCTCATCCCAAACTTATCTTCTCCCAGGACGGGAGATATGTGAAAAATGGAGCATCAGCCAGTTCTTGGCCATTATTTTCGACAGCATGGAGCTACTTTACTGGATGGAGGAATCCTCAGAAGCCCACACAGTTTGCAGAGAGATTTCAGCATTTACCCTGTGTTTTGGGAAAAAACGTTTTCGCTTCAGGGAAACATTACTGGGAAGTTGAGAACCGAGATAGCCTGGAGATTGCTGTGGGGGTGTGTCGGGAGGACATCATGGGGATTGTTGATAGTTCAAAAGTGTCCCCCAATCTGGGAATCTGGGCTATTTGTTGGAGTCCTGCTGGCTGTCGGCCCCTAACAAGCTTCCCTGTAAGTCCTACCAAGCAAGAGCCAGCTCTTCAACGGGTGGGAGTTTTCCTAGATTATGGGGCTGGGGAGGTCTCCTTCTACAATGCTGTGGATGGAGTGCACCTGCACACTTTTTCTTGTTCTTTTGCCTCATGTCTCCGGCCGTTTTTTTGGTTGAGTCCATTGGCATCTTTAGTCATTCCATCAGTGACTGGTGGGAAATGAGGCTGTTCTTTCTCTGCCCAAGAGTCTTCCTATACCCCAGCCCAGGGACATACATCCCTTGGTCCTCTTCATTCACTTCATGCATATTGATCCTGGATAGTACATCAATACTATCCATTCAGATCCCAATTTCATGATTTGTTTACCTCCCTGGCTGTCGTATGCACAGATACGGCAGACCACGTTGGTTGCCTTTCCAGTAACCACTTGCCCCACCCACTTCTCTCCTTCTCTTCTGGTTCTTCCTAATTCAGCTGTTTAGTATGCGCCCTCCACGTGCTTCAGGAGAGGCAGTCCCATGCAGGGGGTTTCTGGCTAACGAGATAGGAGGAGAAGTTTCCCAAGGTGCTTCTGGGGAAAGTTCTTGTAGCTTTTAAAGAGATGTTAGAAGTGTGTGAAGGGGAAGACGCAGCCCCTCTGATGGTAGCTGCTCTATTGGAATTGAGGAAAGCACAGTAACAGTGGAAAGGAAGAAGAAACATGGTCTTTGTTGCCATTGTTCAGTTGCTGAAATTTCACTAATCCCAAGTTTCTTGTTATATGAGATTATGGCTCCCTTATTGTATAAGGTGATTGTAGTTTCGTTTTCATCACTTGCGCTCTGAAGCATCCCAACGTGCTATAGACTCATAGCATGGACATCTCACCTTAGCGGCTTATCTCACCTTTTCTGAAATGTGACGAATTTATAGAATCTCTTTCTATTTAGTCACGTAATTCCTTCTCTTTCCAGTAACTTCTGATATCCCTCACTTTTCTGGATCAGAAGATTGAGGAAATCTTCCCTTACTCTGCCCGTGTCGTTACTCTTCTTCACCTGACCAGGTCTCTGCCCTCCTGTGTTACGCTATCCGTTTGTCAGATTCATACATTGTATATACAAGATAATTAACGTCACACTGAACACGTTGGGAGCACTTGTTAAGTTTTCACGCCTCTTCACATAATGCTCTCGTATGACTCTTGGGAACAGCTAGATGAGATGGAAATTAAAATACTTTTTTGTCAAGTGAGAGAGCATACCTTTGGAGTAACTCGCTCCGTATTGCTCAGCTGGCAAATGGGAGCGTTGGGACTAAATCCAGATCTCTCTGAGGTGAAAGCCTGCACTCTTCTCCTGTACGTTCATTTGTGGGATCACTTTGTGGGATTGATCCCACCAGTTCGGGGATTGTGGATCAGCTTCATCTTTGTTTCAGGTTTTTATTTTGATCTGTTTTCATCTTGTATGCGTATTTTCCTCACTTTCTTCTCTAGATGGCATGCACCCAGAGGATTATGGCAGTTACTGGGTAGTTATTTTTAAAATAATGATTGTTTCTCTCTGGTTATAAAAGTCATGTTGTACTTATTGTAGAAAATTTGGAACATAAAAAAAGTGTAAAGAAAATTAAAATTATCAGTAATCCCACCTCTACAACATTTTAGTGTATTTCTTCCCAGACTTTCCATAGACTTTGAATAGACTTTCTGGCAGTGATTTAATGAGGCCTCTCACAAAACTTCCAGCAGCCTCCCTAAGCCCTCCTCCCCCTCCTATGTCCCAGCTTATCCTGGCTTGTCTTCCTGTCCAGTCTGAATAGGAAGAATGAACCCCCTCATTCAGTTATTTCTGCTGAGTCCTCCTTAACTCTTCAAGATACTTGCTATTATGAGTTGAATTGTGCCCTTCAAAAAGATACGTTGAAGTCCTGACTGTGAATGTGACCTTATTTGGAAATTAAGCTGAGGTCATTAGGGAAGGCCCTAATCCAGTGTGACTGGTATCCTTTATAGTTAACGGCAAATTTGTACATGCACACACACACACGGAAATGCCCTGTGAAGATGCTGAGGGAAGATGGCTATGGGAGAGATTGACTTTATGCTGCTATAAGCCAAGGAATACCCGGGGCTTCTAGAAGCTGGAAAAGGCTAGAAGCTTCTGAGGGATCATGTCCCTGTCACCACCTTGATTTTGGACCTCTAGCTTCTGAAACTGTGAGACAATTTTCTGTTGTCCATCACCCAGTTTGTGGTACTTTGTTATGGCAGCCCCAGGAAACTTCTACAGTTGCCCATCAGGCCTTTCTCCATCCCTGCCTGGTTAATCTCCAGTCCTTGGGGAAACTCATCCATCCCTTTCCTTGGCTCTTCCTTCTGGGCTGTGGAACCAGGTTGACAGGTTCTGCCACGAAGTATCTCTCTTGACTTCAAGTGGGCTCTTTGAGCTGCTTCGTAAACAAACTTTATTTTTTTAATCCCTTGATTTCTTTTTATATCTCTGGTGGCAGTGATTCCAAATCTTTTCCTCTTTTCTCAAGCCTCTGTGAGCCCCGTGTCATACTGCTGTAGGGAAGGTGAAACTTGACCTCTGCCCATTTTAGGTTTTCAGCTGGGACTGGAACAAAAAGATTAACAAGAGAAAAAACCATGATTTATTCACACATGCAGCACATCATGCAGGAGAAACCTAAAATGAATTGTAACTCAAAGCGGTGGCTTAGAATTCTGGCTAACATAGTATCTTCAACAACAGTAAATTTGTGGAGAAATGCTAAAGGAAAGAAATGACAGTTTTAGGCTGCCAAGGGTGGCAGACTGGGGACATAAATGTATGTGAGGAAACTAATGGAGAAATGTTTGCAGATTCCCCTGCTGCTGTCTCTGAGCTAAGAGTTTGTCTCCAGTAAAGGAGAATGTATATCCTGCCTTGAGGCAGAAACCTGGGAGTTTTTTTCTGGGTTTGCTGCTTAACTGCCTTCACCTCAAAATAGTTTTTATGTTAAAGAGGCATATTTTGGGCTGACACATTGTGGTTTCCATCACTACTAATTCTTGCAAAGAACTTATTTTTTACTGAGAAAAAAAAATGTTCTACTCTACCCTTCTTATTTACAATTCTTTGTTTCTTTTTTGAGTCTTGCTGTTGGCCCCTCTTATCTCAGGTATGGGATGGGGCCCAGGTGTCATATTTATTACAAATAAAACAAACTCTTCTGATGCTTCTCATGCTGAACAGCATTAAGAATAAACTTGTAGTAGTTTTCAGTTTTGCTTCAGATTTCCCTGAGTCTGTATTAATTTCTGAGTCTATGAATTTCTATGTTAATGTGTTATAGGAATCATTAGGAGTGATATTCATTATGCAGCATTTCTCAAGCTTATTTCACCACAGAAATTTTAGCTCTGGGAGCAGCAATTAAGACTTCCCAGAAGACAGTTTGGCAATGACTGTTTATCCTACGCTTTCTTCAGATCTTGACCATCTCAGATTTTGACCTAGACTTGCACTGCCCTGGCCCCCAAAGTTGGTGGGTACGTGCACTGGCGCTGTAAGCTGCGCACACTGTGACCCTGGTAAGGCTCTGCTAAAGTCTTTTCCCTAGAGACTAGGCTTTTGTTATGGAAAACACTCGGCACATTTTTTGATGATTTCTATTCATCCTCCCCTTGCCAGAGCTCTGAGGGGATCTTTCTCAACCTTTCACTCAGAATTTGATGGAGTTCTTGGAGTTAAATCCCATGAATATGTGCCCCGCTCCAATACTGCAGCTCCCAGAAGTTTCTCGCTCTTAAGCTAGTCCACACCCAACTTCTAGCACTTCATCAAAACTACCGTTTAAGTATTCTTATCAGTTTGTTGTTCCAGTGGATTTTGCTTCAGGTAAGCACATCTCAGCTTTGACTCTGGATTTGCCTGTCTGTCCAGAATTGGGGTGGTAATTTGCTGTGAAACCTTGGTTCTCTCATGGGTCCAAGAAAAGCCATTAATTTCGTTTTCTCATCTCTTTCTTATACGGATGTGATTTAGGACTTCCAAATTCTTTATATGTTGGAGCTGAAACTGGAAGTCTTCTATCATATTATTAAAATAGGTTTCTTTTAGAGCTCTATTATGGTTAATTTTCTGTGTCAACTTGACTCAGGGATGCTCAGATAGCTGATAAAACATTTCTGGGTGTTCTGTGAGGGTGTTTCCAGAAGAGATTAACATTTGAATCAGTAGACTGAGTAAAGAAGGTCACTCTCACCAGTGTGGGTAGACATTGTCCAATCCGTTGAGAGCCTGGATAGAAGAAAAATGCAGAGGAAGGGCAAATTTGTTCTTTGCTTGACCTGGGACATCCATCATCTCCTGTCCTTGGACGTTGGTGCTCCTGGTTCTTGGGCCTTCAGACTCGGACTGGGACTCATACCATTGGCCCTTGATTCTTGGGACTTTGGGCCCCCACTGGAACTTACGCCATTAGCACCCTGGTTCTCAGGCCTTTGGACTTGGACTGAATTACACCAGCTTTCCTGTTTCTCCAGCTTGCAGACAGCAGACTGTGGAACTTCTTGGCCTCCCGTGATCACATGAGCCAATGGTCAATGTTCCCTCCTGTTGGTTCTGTTTCTCTGGAGAACCCTGACTAATACAAGCTTATGTAGTTGGGTCTTGCATTTTTTAATCCAGTCTGTCAATTCTTAACTGTTATTTTTAAGCCATTCTACTTTAGAGTTATTGCTTGTATAGTTGTATTAAAATATACTCTTAGCTGTTTTCTGTTAGTTTCATTTCTTCTGTTTCTTTTTTCCTTTTTCTGCCTTTTCTAGTTTTATTGAGCACTTTAAAAATAAAATTCATTTTGTCTCCTCTATTTGCTTATTATTTATACTTCTTTTAAAAGCTTTTTTTTTTAAAAAAATGAAAGCTTTTTTAGTCATTGCCATCTGGTTTACATTGTACATTTTGAACAATCTGAATCTACCTTCAAACATGTGTGGTGAAAGACTATAGCAGTATGGCCTTGATTCCCAGTCTTTGCTCCATTGTTGTCATACATTTCACTTTTACACATGCAATAAACACCCAATTCACTGTTACTATTAATGCTTTAAACACTTTTTTGCTTTAAACATCTTCTTCCGGTATGTTGAAAAGGGTAAGGGGGTATGCAGTAACACACACACAGGCAAAAATGGAAAGGAGACATGAGGCCGGCCCCATGGCCCAGTGGTTAAGTTTGCGCGCTCTGCTTTGGTGGCCCAGGGTTTTCCCAGTTCGAATCCTGGGCGCAGACATGGCACTGCTCATCAAGCCATGCTGAGGCAGCATTCCACATGCCACAACTAGAAGGACCCACAACTAAAAATACACAACTATGTACTGGGGGGCTTTGGGAGAAAAAGGAAAAGTAAAATCTTTAAAAAAATAATGGAAAGGAGACACAATGAAGAAACCTAGGTAACTGAAGATTCATGAGAGATTTTGGAAAGATATTTGTCATAGAGTATCCATACTGATGACTTAGAAGCTATAGACCATATTCAGGCAGCCAAGAGAGACTCTCAGGAAAGATAGAGGAAATCACAGCTTCTCTAGAGTCTGGATGCAGAGACTCCAGCCTTTAATTCTCAGTGACCCGGGTTCGGTTCAGGCCTAAAAGAAAGAATGCAGGAAATAGGTGATTCTGAAGTGCAAAAGATTTCCAGTGTCAAAGGCATCAGGGTCCTCTGGATACACTTGGAAGAACAGCTTTCACAGTCTTACTATTATTGGTGTCATGGTGTAGACCTATGGAACTCTTGTTGACACATCATCCCATTTTGGGTTTCTCATTTAGCATGACACACATACTTTCTTGCTGCTTTATCCATTGCATCCAGTGTAAAAATCTCTGGCTTTTAATTGAACTGTTTAGTTCGTTTATACTTACTTGAATTATTGATAGAGTTGAATTTAAATCTATCAACTTGCTTTTTAAAATTTGGCCTATTTTTTGCCTATTACTCTTTTCCTGCCTTCTTTTGGATTAGTAAAATATTTAAAAAATTTTATTTTGTTTCAGCTATTGGATCTTTAAAGAGCTATACATCTTTTAAAAAATAATTTTATTTTTTATTTATTTTTTTGAGGAAGATTAGCCCTGAGCTAACTGCTGCCAATCCTTCTCTTTTTGCTGAGGAAGACTGACCCTGAGCTAACATCGTGCCCATCTTCCTCTACTTTATATGTGGGATGCCTACCACAGCATGGCTTTGCCAAGCGGTGCCATGTCTGCACCCGGGATCCAAACCAGCAAACGCCGGGCCACCAAAGCAGAATGTGTGCACTCAACTGCTGTGCCACTGGGCTGGCCCCTAAAAAATAATTTTAAGTTTGACATTTTGGTCAACTGTTCTTCAACAAAGATGCCAAGAATACACAATGAGGAAATTATAGGCTCTTCAATAAGTGGTTTTGGGAAAACGATATCCACATGCAGAAGAATGAAATCGTGTTCTTATACCATACACAAAAATCAACTCAAAATTGTTTAAAGAATTAAACATAAGACCTGAAACTGTAAAACTCCCAGAATAACACATAGAGAAAAAGCTGCTTGACATTGACCTTAGCAAGGATTTTTTGGATATGACACCAAAGTGCAGGCAACAAAAGCAAAAATAAACAAGGGGGATTACATCAAACTGAAAACTGCACAGCAAAGGAAGTAATCAATGAAAAGGCAACCTATAGAATGGGAGAAAATATTTGCAAACCATTATCTGATAGAGGGTTAATAAAAATATATAAGGTGTTCCTACAACTCTACCAAAAATCAAATAACCCTATTAAAAATGGGCAAAGGATCTGAATAGACATTTCTCCAAAGAAGACATACAAATGGCCAACAGAGTATGTGAAAAGGCACGTGACATGACTAATCTTCAGGGAAATGCAAATCAGAACCACAATGAAATATCACCTCACACTTCACTGGATGGCTGTTATCAAGAAAGCAAAAGATTATGGCAAACAGTATGGAGATTCCTCAAAAAATTAAAAATAAAGCTATCATATGGTCTAGCAATTCCACTTCTGACTATATAGCCAAAGGGCTTGAAATCAGTATCTGAAAGAGATATCTCCACTCCCATGTTTATTGCAGTATTATTTATAATAGCCAAGACATGGAAGCAACCTAAATGTCCATCATCAGATGAATGGATAAAGAAAAGTGGTATGCACACACAACAGAATATTATTCAGGCTTTAAAAAAGGAAATCCACACATTTGTGACAACACGGATGAAACTGGAGGACATTAGCTAAGAGAAATAAGCCGGACACAAAAGGACAACTACTACATGATACCACTTATATAAAGAATCTAAAATAGTCAAACTCATAGAAACAGAGATTAGTATGGTGATTGCAAGGGGCTAGGAGGAGGTAGAAATGGGGAAGTGTTAGCCAAAGTGTACATGCTTCCAGTTATACAAGATGAATAAATCCTAGAGGTCTACTGTCCAGCATAGATCCTACAGTTAACAATACTGTATTGTATACTTAAAGATTTGCTAAGAGGGAGATCTTAGGTTGTGTTCTTCTGACAAAAACATAATACGAAGAAAGGCAGGAGGAAGCTTTGGAGGTTATGGGTATGTTTATGGCGTAGATTATGGCGATGGTTTCATGGGTGTACACTTATCCAAACTCATCAAGTTTTATTCATTAAACATGTACAGCTTTTTAAAATTGAGGTCATAATAGTTTATAACATTGTGAAGTTTTAGTTGTACATTATTATTTGTCAGTCACCATATAAATGCGTCCCTTCACCCCTTGTGCCCACTCCCCAACCCTCTTCCCGCTGGTAACCAATAAACTGTTCTCTTTGTCAGTGTGTTTGTTTATCTTCCACATACGAGTGAAACCATATGGTGTTTGTCTTTCTCTGTCTGGCTTATTTTGCTTAACATAATACCCTCAGAGCCCATCCATGTTGTTGTGAATGGGAGGATTTTGTCTTTTTTATGGCTGAGTAGTATTCCATTTTATACATATACCAAATCTTCTCTATCCAATCATCAGTCTATGGGCACTTGGGGCTGCTTCCACATCTTGGCTATTGTGAATAATGCTGCAATGCACATAGGGGTGCATAAGTCTCTTTGAATTGTTGATTTCAAGTTCTTTGGATAGATACCCAGTAGAGGGATAGCTGGCTCACATGGTATTTCTATTTTTAATTTTTTAGAAATCTCCATACTGTTTTCCATAGTGGCTGCACCAGTTTGCATTCCCACCAACAGTGTACGAGGGTTTCCTTTTCCACACAACCTCTCCAACCTCCGTTATTTCTTGTCTTGGTGAGTATAGCCGTTCTAATGGGTGTAAGGTGCTGTCTTAGTGTAGTTTTGATTTGCATTTCCCTGATGATTAGTGATGTTGAACATCTTTTAATGTGCCTACTGGCCACCTGTATATCTTCTTTGGAAAATGTCTGTTCATATTCTCTGCCCATTTTTTGATCAGGTTTGTTGTTGTTGTTGTTCAGTTGTGTGAGTTCTTTATATATTGTGGAGATTAACCCCTTGTTCGATATATGATTTGCAAATGTTTTCTCCCAGTTGGTGGGCCTTCTTATTGTTTTAGTCTTGGTTTCATCTGCCTTGCAGAAGCTCTTTAGTCTGATTAAGTCCCACTTGTTTATTTTCCTTTTGTTTCCCTCATCTGATTAGACATGGTATTTGAAAAGATTATTCAAGACTAGTGTCAAACAGTGTACTGCCTATGTTTTCTACTAGGAGTTTTATGGTTTCAGGTCTTACCTTCAAGTCTTTGATCCATTTTGAGTTATTTTTTGTGTATGCTGAAAGATAATGGTCTACTTCCTTTCTTTTGCATGTGGCTGTCCAGTTTTCCCAATGCCGTTAATTGAAGAGACTTTCCTTTCTCCATTGTATGTTCTTAGGTCCTTTGTCAAAGATTAGCTGTCCGTAGATGTGTGGTTTTATTTCTGGGCTTTCAATTCTGTTCCACTGATCTGTGTGTCTGTTTTTGTACTAGTACCATGCTGTTTTGATTTCTATGGCTTTGTACTACATTTTGAAGTCAGGGATTGTGCTGCCTCCAGCTTTGTTCTTTTTTCTCAGGATTGCTTTAGCTATTCAGGGTCTTTTGTTACCCCATATGAATTTTAGGATTCTTTGTTCTATTTCTGTAAAGAATGTCATTGGGATTCTGATTGGGATTCCATTAAATCTGTAGATTGCTTTGGTTGTATGGACATTTTAAGTATGTTTATCCTTCTGATCCATGTGCATGGAATATCTTTCCATTTCTTTATGTCATCATTGATTTCTTTCAGAAATGTCTTATAGGTTTCCTTGCATAGGTCTTTCACCTCTTCGGTTAAATTTATTCCTAGATATTTTATTCTTTCTGTTGCAATTGTAAATGAGATTGTAATCTCGAGCTCTCTTTCTGTTAGTTTGTTATTAGCTTATAGAAATGCAACTGATTTCTGTAAGTTGATTTTGTACTCTGCAACTTTACTGTAGTTGTTGATTATTTTTAATAGTTTTCTGATGGATTCTTTAAGCTTTTCTCTGTATAAAATCATGTCATCTGCAAACAGCAAGAGTTTCGCTTCTTCACTGCCTATTTGGATTCCTTTTATTTCTTTTTCTTTCCTAATTGCTTGGCCAAAACCCCCAGTACTATGTTGAATAAGAGTGGTGAGAGTGGGCACCCTTGTCTTGTTCCTGTTCTCAGAGGGATGGCTTTCAATTTTTCCCCATTGAGTATTATGTTGGCTGTGGGTTTGTCATATACGGCCTTTATTATGTGAGTACTTTCCTTCTATACCCATTTTATTGAGAGTTTTTA